CTCTACCGGACCTGCTGTTTGAACATTTCTCTCTACCGGACCTGCTGTTTGACCCTGTCTCTATACCGGACCTGCTGTTTGACCCTGTCTCTCTACCGGACCTGCTGTTTGAACATTTCTCTCTACCGGACCTGCTGTTTGACCCTGTCTCTCTACTGGACCTGCTGTTTGAACATTTCTCTCTACCGGACCTGCTGTTTGACCCTGTCTCTCTACCGGACCTGCTGTTTGAACATTTCTCTCTACCGGACCTGCTGTTTGACCCTGTCTCTCTACCGGACCTGCTGTTTGACCCTGTCTCTCTACCGGACCTGCTGTTTGACCCTGTCTCTCTACCGGACCTGCTGTTTGACCCTGTCTCTCTCCACCGGACCTGCTGTTTGACCCTGTCTCTCTACCGGACCTGCTGTTTGACACTGTCTCTCTCCACCGGACCTGCTGTTTGACCCTGTCTCTCCACCGGACCTGCTGTTTGACCCTGTCTCTCTCTACCGGACCTGCTGTTTGACCATGTCTCTCTACCGGACCTGCTGTTTGACCCTGTCTCTCTACTGTACTTGCTGTTTGAACCTGTCTCTCCACCGGACCTGCTGTTTGACCATGTCTCTCTCTACCGGACCTGCTGTTTGAACATTTCTCTCTACAGACCTGCTGTTTGACCCTGTCTCTCTCTACCGGACCTGCTGTTTCACCCTGTGTCTCTCTACCGGACCTGCTGTTTCACCCTGTGTCTCTCTACCGGACCTGCTGTTTCACCCTGTCTCTCTCTACCGGACCTGCTGTTTGAACATTTCTCTCTACAGACCTGCTGTTTGATCCTGTCTCTCTCTGCCGGACCTGCTGTTTTACCCTGTCTCTCTCTACTGTACCTCTGTTTGACCATGTCTCTGTACCGGACCTGCTGTTTGACCCTGTCTCTCTCTACAGGACCTGCTGTTTGACCCTGTCTCTCTCTACCGGACCTGCTGTTTGACCCCGTCTCTCTACGGGATCTGCTGTTTGACCCTTTCTCTCTACCGGACCTGCTGCTTGCCTCTCTCTACTGGACCTGCTGTTTGAACCTGTCTCTCTCTACCAGACCTGCTGTTTGACCCTGTCCATCTCCACCGGACCTGCTGTTTGAACCTGTCTCTCTACTGGACCTGCTGCTTGCCTCTCTCTACTGTACTTGCTGTTTGACCCTGTCCCTCTCTACCAGACCTGCTGTTTGAACCTGTCTCTCTCTACCAGACCTGCTGTTTGACCCTGTCCCTCTCCACCGGACCTGCTGTTTGAACCTGTCTCTCTACTGGACCTGTTTTCTTGACCTCTGACTGTTAGGCTATGAAAAGCCAACTGACATTACTCCTGTTGCCCCCTCTACAACCACTGGGATTATTTTTAGACCCTGCTGGTCATCTATGAAAGTTAGAACATCTTGAAGAATAATCTGGCCTTAATGGCCATGTACTCTTATAATCTCCACCCGGCAGCCAGAATAGGACTGGACACCCCTCAGAGCCTGGTTCCTCTCTACCCAGTGCAGCCAGAAGGGGACTGGCCACCCCTCAGAGCCTGGTTCCTCTCTACCCAGTACAGCCAGTAGAGGACTGGTCACCCCTCAGAGCCTGGTTCCTCTCTACCCAGTACAGCCAGAAGGGGACTGGACACCCCTCAGAGCCTGGTTCCTCTCTACCCAGTACAGCCAGAAGGGGACTGGCCACCCCTCAGAGCCTGGTTCCTCTCTACCCAGTACAGCCAGAAGGGGACTGGCCACCCCTCAGAGCCTGGTTCCTCTCTACCCAGTACAGCCAGAAGAGGACTGGCCAGCCCTCAGAGCCTGGTTCCTCTCTACCCAGTACAGCCAGAAGGGGACTGGCCACCCCTCAGAGCCTGGTTCCTCTCTACCCAGTACAGGCAGTAGAGGACTGGCCAGCCCTCAGAGCCTGGTTCCTCTCTACCCAGTACAGCCAGAATAGGACTGGCCAGCCCTCAGAGCCTGGTTCCTCTCTACCCAGTACAGCCAGAAGAGGACTGGCCACCCCTCAGAGCCTGGTTCCTCTCTACCCAGTACAGCCAGAAGGGGACTGGCCACCCCTCAGAGCCTGGTTCCTCTCTACCCAGTACAGCCAGAAGGGGACTGGCCACCCTTCAGAGCCTGGTTCCTCTCTACCCAGTACAGCCAGAAGAGGACTGGTCACCCCTCAGAGCCTGGTTCCTCTCTACCCAGTACAGCCAGAAGGGGACTGGCCACCCTTCAGAGCCTGGTTCCTCTCTACCCAGTACAGCCAGAAGAGGACTGGCCAGCCCTCAGAGCCTGGTTCCTCTCTAGGTTTCTTCCTAGATTCCCGCCTTTCTAGGGAGTTTCTCCTAGCCTCCATGCTTCTACATCTGCATTGCTGCTGTTTGGGGTTTTAGGCTGGGTTTCTGTATAGCATTTTGTGACATCTACTGACGTAAAAAGGGCTTTATAAATACGATTGATTGATTGATTGATTGATTGACCTCTCTGAGTCGTCTGTCTGTCTGTGAGTCTCCAGGTGTCTGCCCATCTGTCTCCACACAGCTGGTCTTCCTGCAGCTCCCACAACACTCACTCTCCGACCGCTGGTACACTGAGCCCTACAAACACAAATCAAATCAAGTCATTTTATTTGTCACAGGCACTGAATACAACTTGTGTAGACTTTACCGTGAAATACTTGTTTATGAGCCCTTTCCAATGATGCAGAGTTTTAAAATAATACAAGACGAATAAAATAAAATACATAAGAATAGAGCTATATACAGGAAGCACCAGATCAATGTGGAGCTATATACAGGAAGCACCATATCAATGTGGAGCTATATACAGGAAGTACCAGTACCAGATCAATATACATGTGTAATATAAAGTGTGTGTAATATATAGTGTGTGTAATGTATAGTGTGTGTAATGTATAGTGTGTAATGTAGTGTGTGTAATGTATAGTGTGTGTAATGTATAGTGTGTATAATGTATAGTGTGTGTAATATATAGTGTGTAATGTATAGTGTGTGTAATGTATAGTGTGTATAATATATAGTATGTGTAATGTATAATGTTTTGTGTCTCTGTCGTGTGTGTGTACTGTCTCGTGTGTGTACTACTCTCAGTGTGTGTCCTGTTAGTGTGTGTACTGTCTGTGTGTGTCCTGTTCGTGTGTCTCTTTCGTGTGTGTCACTGTCTCTGTGTGTGTCCTGTCTCGTGTGTGTCATGTCTCGTGTGTCCTGTCTCGTGTGTGTCTCTCTGTGTGTGTCACTGTCTGTGTGTCCTGTTCTCGTGTGTGTTGTCCTTGATATGTGTGTGTCCTCTCTCGTGTGATGTCCTGTCTCGTGTGTGTCCTGTCTCGTGTGTCCTGTCTGTGTGTTTTCCTGTCTCGTGTGTCTCTCTCGTGTGTGTCCTGTCTCGTGTGTGTCCTCTCTCGTGTGTGTCCTGTCTCGTGTGTCCTGTCTCGTGTGTGTCCTGTCTCGTGTGTGTCCTGTCTCGTGTGTGTCCTGTCTCGTGTGTGTCCTGTCTCGTGTGTGTCCTGTCTCGTGTGTGTCCTGTCTCGTGTGTCCTCTCTCGTGTGTGTCCTTCTCGTGTGTGTCCTGTCTCGTGTGTGTCTGTCTCGTTGTGGTCCTGTCTCGTGTTGTTCCTGTCTCGTGTGTGTCCTGTCTCGTGGGGTTCCTCTCTCTGTGTGTCCTGTCTCGTGTGTTCCTGTCTCGTGTGTCTCCTGTCTCGTGTGTGTCCTGTCTGGGTGTGTGTCCTGCCCTCGTGTGTCCTGTCTCGTGTGTGTCCTGTCTCGTGTGTGTCCTGTCTCTGTGTGTGTCCTTCTCGTGTGTGTCCTGTCTTGTGTGTGTCCTGTTCGTGTGTGTCCTGTCTTTTGTGTGTCCTGTCTCTGTGTGTCCTGTCTCGTGTTGTCCTGTCTCGTGTGTCCTCTCTCGTGTGTGTCCGGTCTCGTGTGTTGTCTCTCTGTGTGTCCTGTCTCGTGTGTGTCCTGTCTCGTGTGTCCTGTCTCGTGTGTGTCTGTCTCGTGGTCTCCTGTCTCGTGTGTGTCCTGTCCCGTGTATAGTGTGTATAATGTATAGTGTGTGTAATATATAGTGTGTGTAATGTATAGTGTGTGTAATGTATAGTGTGTAATGTATAGTGTGTATAATGTATAGTGTGTGTAATGTATAGTGTGTAATGTATAGTGTGTGTAATGTACAGTGTATAGTGTGTATAATGTATATTGTGTATAATGTATAGTTTGTGTAATGTATAGCGTGTGTAATTTAGTCTTTAGTGTTAGAATTAGGGCTATTATATTTATTTTACCAGGTATGTTGATGGAGTATACATTTTCAGGAACAACCTGGGGAATAGTGACAGGGGAGAGGAGGAGGGATGAATGAGCCAATTGGAAGCTGGGGATGATTAGGTGACCATAATGGTATGAGGGTCAGATTTTGAATTTAGCCAGGACACCGGGGTTAACACCCCTACTTTTACGATAAGTGCCTCAGAGAGTCAGGACACCCATTTAACATCCCATCCGAAAGACGGCACCCTGCACAGGGCAATGTCCCCAATCACTGCCCTGGGGCAACGTCCCCAATCACTGCCCTGGGGCAACGTCCCCAATCACTGCCCTGGGGCAACGTCCCCAATCACTGCCCTGGGGCAACGTCCCCAATCACTGCCCTGGGGCAACGTCCCCAATCACTGCCCTGGGGCAATGTCCCCAATCACTGCCCTGGGGATTTGGGATATTATTTTTGACCAGAGGAAAGAGTTCCTCCTACTGGTCCTCCAACACCACTTCCAGCAGCATCTGGTCTCCCATCCAGGGACTGACCAGGACCAACCCTGCTTATCTTCAGAGGCAAGCCAGCAGTGGGATGCAGGGTGGTATCTGAGTTAAGGTTAGGTTTAGGTTTAGGTTTAGGTGGGTATGTGTGTGTGTGTGTGTGTGTGTGTGTGTGTGTGTGTGTGTGTGTGTGTGTGTGTGTGTGTGTGTGTCTGTTTGTATAGTCACCAGAGGACAGGAGTGGTCACAGACAGGTGGGACACACTGAGCGATGTGCAGGTTAGTGTGTGTGTCCTGCTGATGGGTGCAGCTGCATTTCTCACAGCCCTCCTCCCATTGGCTCCCCACACGGTAGACCACACCCCCTACCACACACACCTAGACAAACAGAGAAACATTAGAGGAGTAAACACACACACACACACACACACACACACACACCTACACACCTACACACACACCCCTACACACACACACACCTGGTCAGGCAGGCAGGCGGTCTCGGTGCAGCCACAGTCGTTGGTGGAGGAGGAGGTGATGAATCCAGGAGGACAGGAGTGGGTGGCGTTATGACAGTCACACACACACTGGAACGAATCACAGCACTGCGTCTGTTTAACGGACAGCCGGCGGTGGGTGGGGCAAGCAGGTGGAACCTGGAGAGAACACTCCTTCTTCTTACAGGCTGAGAGAGAGAGAGAGAGAGAGAGAGAGAGAGAGACAGAGACAGAGACAGAGACAGAGACAGAGACAGAGACAGAGACAGAGGTAGAGGTAAAGAGAGAGAGAGAGAGAGAGAGAGAGAGAGAGAGAGAGAGAGAGAGAGAGAGTTATTTCACCATTCAAATAATATAATCCAATTCTTTCGGATGTCGAAAATAATAATAATAATATTAATAATATTAAAATAAGTTGCTCTTGTTTCTCCTGACCAATCAGAATGACACAAATATAGAGGGCAGGTTGCTATTCTCCGATAGTTATTGGCTAACACCCATCATAGGACTGATTCTTGTTCAATAATGTTTTCTGGTGAGTGTTTTGCATGACTCTGTGTCAGGTCTTGTGTAACCTCGTCCCCAGGCTTGAATTGCTGGCGCATAGAGCCTGGTAACACTGTGCTACAAAGTGGAACTTGAAAGGGATTTGGTTAAAAGCTAGGCGGGAGAGGGCGCAAGCCTGCTACAGCTGTATTAGATGACACTGAAAAATTGCCAAAATTGCCAATCAACATTTTCTATCACATTGAACATATTATTTTTGGGAAGCCCAATTGATTCTGAGTTCGGGCATCTAAAGATTATATGTGACAACTATTTTTAATATGCGTAGTTTCAGATTTACGAAATCCCTTCCTTGTTTAAATCACTTATGACGCTCGAGCTTTGAAGTCCACAATGTTGTGTGGTTATGGGGTTACAGGGTTATGTTAGATGGTGATGGACTAAGAAAACAACTAATTAAACCCGCCGTCTGTTTTCACTGCTACTGCATAGCCTTCCACACTTCCAGTCAAGTTCCATTCTGAGGCGCTTCGTCAGAGAAAGAGCTGGCTGGTGGACAACAACCTCAGTTAGGTGTGAGGAGCTGGAGCGGAGCGGAGCGTGCCCAGTTTGACTGGAGCAAAGACAATTTGACTGGAGCAAAGACAATTTGACTGGAGCGGAGCGTGCCCAGTTTGACTGGAGCAAAGACAATTTGACTGGAGCAAAGACAATTTGACTGGAGCAAAGACAATTTGGCTGGAGCAAAGACAATTTGGCTGGAGCAAAGACAATTTGGCTGGAGAACAGACAATTTGACTGAAGAAGAGACAATTCCTGAAGGCTGGCACATTGACCTTCACTCACACTCCAATTTCCGCTCCAGTAGTGTTCCAGTAGTCCTCCAGTAGTGCTCCAGTAGTGTTCCAGTAGTCCTCCAGTAGTGCTCCAGTAGTCCTCCAGTAGTGCTCCAGTAGCCTCCAGTAGTCCTCCAGTAGTACTCCCGTAGTGTTCCAGTAGTCCTCCAGTAGTGTTCCAGTAGTGCTCCAGTATTGTTCCAGTAGTGCTCCAGTAGTGCTCTAGTAGTGCTCCAGTAGTGTTCCAGTAGTGCTCCAGTAGTGCTCCAGTAGTGTTCCAGTAGTCCTCCAGTAGTGTTCCAGTAGTGTTCAAGTAGTCCTCCAGTAGTGCTCTAGTAGTGCTCCAGTAGTGTTCCAGTAGTGTTCCAGTAGTCCTCCAGTAGTGCTCCAGTAGTGCTCCAGTAGTGCTCCAGTAGTCCTCCAGTAGTGCTCCAGTAGTGCTCCAGTAGTGCTCCAGTAGTGTTCCAGTAGTGTTCCAGTAGTGTTCAAGTAGTCCTCCAGTAGTCCTCCAGTAGTGCTCCAGTAGTCATCCAGTAGTGTTCCAGTAGTCCTCCAGTAGTGCTCCAGCAGTCCTCCAGTAGTGTTCCGGTAGTCCTCCAGTAGTGTTCCAGTAGTCCTCCAGTAGTGTTCCAGTAGTCCTCCAGTAGGGCTCCAGTAGTCCTCCAGTAGTGCTCCAGTGGTGCTCCAGTAGTCCTCCAGTAGTGCTCCAGTAGTCATCCAGTAGTGCTCTAGTAGTGCTCCAGTAGTGTTCCAGTAGTCCTCCAATAGTGTTCCAGTAGTGTTCCAGTAGTCCTCCAGTAGTCCTCCAGTAGTGTTCCAGTAGTGTTCCGGTAGTCATCCAGTAGTGCTCCAGTAGTGTTCCAGTAGTGTTCCAGTAGTGCTCCAGTAGTGCTCCAGTAGTCCTCCAGTAGTCCTCCAGTAGTGTTCCAGTAGTCCTCCAGTAGTGCTCCAGTAGTGCTCCAGTAGCTTCAGTAGTGCTCCAGTAGTCCTCCAGTAGTGTTCCAGTGGTGTTCCAGTAGTGTTCCAGTAGTGTTCCAGTAGTACTCCAGTAGTGCTCCAGTAGTGCTCCATTAGCTCCAGTAGTGCTCCAGTAGTGCTCCAGTAGCTCCAGTAGTGCTCCAGTGGTGCTCCAGTAGCTCCAGTAGTCCTCCAGTAGTCCTCCAGTAGGGTTCCAGTAGTGCTCCAGTAGTGCTCCAGGAGTGCTCCAGTAGTGCTTCAGTAGTGCGCCAGTAGTGTTCTAGTTGTGCTCCAGTAGTGCTCCAGTAGTGTTCCAGTAGTGCTCCAGTAGCTCCAGTAGTGCTCCAGTAGTGTTCCAGTAGTGCTCCAGTAGTCCTCCAGTAGTGCTCCAGTAGCTCCAGTATTGTTCCAGTAGTGCTCCAGTAGTGCTCCAGTAGTGCTCCAGTAGTGCTCCAGTAGTGTTACAGTAGTCCTCCAGTAGTGTTCCAGTAGTGTTCAAGTAGTCCTCCAGTAGTGCTCTAGTAGTGCTCCAGTAGTGTTCCAGTAGTCCTCCAGTAGTGCTCCAGTAGTGCTCCAGTAGTGCTCCGGTAGTCCTCCAGTAGTGCTCCAGTAGTGCTCCAGTAGTGTTCCAGTAGTCCTCCAGTAGTGCTCCAGTAGTGTTCCAGTAGTCCTCCAGTAGTCCTCCAGTAGTGCTCCAGTAGTCCTCCAGTAGTGCTCCAGTAGCCTCCAGTAGTCCTCCAGTAGTACTCCCGTAGTGTTCCAGTAGTCCTCCAGTAGTGTTCCAGTAGTGCTCCAGTATTGTTCCAGTAGTGCTCCAGTAGTGCTCTAGTAGTGCTCCAGTAGTGTTCCAGTAGTCCTCCAGTAGTGCTCCAGTAGTGTTCCAGTAGTCCTCCAGTAGTGCTCCAGTAGTGCTCCAGTAGTGCTCCAGTAGTCCTCCAGTAGTGCTCCAGTAGTGCTCCAGTAGTGCTCCAGTAGTGTTCCAGTAGTCCTCCAGTAGTGTTCCAGTAGTGTTCAAGTAGTCCTCCAGTAGTCCTCCAGCGGTGCTCCAGTAGTCATCCAGTAGTGTTCCAGTAGTCCTCCAGTAGTGCTCCAGCAGTCCTCCAGTAGTGTTCCGGTAGTCCTCCAGTAGTGTTCCAGTAGTCCTCCAGTAGTGCTCCAGTAGTGCTCCAGTAGGGCTCCAGTAGTGCTCCAGTAGTCCTCCGGTGGCGCTCCAGTAGTCATCCAGTAGTGTTCCAGTAGTCCTCCAGTGGTGCTCCAGTAGTCCTCCAGTAGTGTTCCAGTAGTCCTCCAGTAGTCCTCCAGTAGTGCTCCAGTGGTGCTCCAGTAGTCCTCCAGTAGTGCTCCAGTAGTCATCCAGTAGTGTTCCAGTAGTGTTCCAGTAGTGTTCCAGTAGTACTCCAGTAGTGCTCCAGTAGTGCTCCATTAGCTCCAGTAGTGCTCCAGTAGTGGTCCAGTAGCTCCAGTAGTGCTCCAGTGGTGCTCCAGTAGCTCCAGTAGTGTTCCAGTAGTCCTCCAGTAGTCCTCCAGTAGGGTTCCAGTAGTGCTCCAGTAGTGCTCCAGGAGTGCTCCAGTAGTGCTTCAGTAGTGCGCCAGTAGTGTTCTAGTTGTGCTCCAGTAGTGCTCCAGTAGTGTTCCAGTAGTGCTCCAGTAGCTCCAGTAGTGCTCCAGTAGTGTTCCAGTAGTGCTCCAGTAGTCCTCCAGTAGTGCTCCAGTAGCTCCAGTATTGTTCCAGTAGTGCTCCAGTAGTGCTCCAGTAGTGCTCCAGTAGTGTTCCAGTAGTCCTCCAGTAGTGTTCCAGTAGTGTTCAAGTAGTCCTCCAGTAGTGCTCTAGTAGTGCTCCAGTAGTGTTCCAGTAGTCCTCCAGTAGTGCTCCAGTAGTGCTCCAGTAGTGCTCCAGTAGTCCTCCAGTAGTGCTCCAGTAGTGTTCCAGTAGTGTTCCAGTAGTCCTCAAGTAGTGTTCCAGTAGTGTTTAAGTAGTCCTCCAGTAGTCCTCCAGTAGTGCTCCAGTAGTCATCCAGTAGTGTTCCAGTAGTCCTCCAGTAGTGCTCCAGCAGTCCTCCAGTAGTGTTCCGGTAGTCCTCCAGTAGTTTTCCAGTAGTCCTCCAGTAGTGCTCCAGTAGTCCTCCAGTTGGGCTCCAGTAGTGCTCCAGTAGTCCTCCAGTTGTGCTCCAGTAGTCATCCAGTAGTGTTCCAGTAGTCCTCCAGTGGTGCTCCAGTAGTCCTCCAGTAGTGTTCCAGTAGTCCTCCAGTAGTGCTCCAGTAGTCCTCCAGTAGTGCTCCAGTGGTGCTCCAGTAGTCCTCCAGTAGTGCTCCAGTAGTCATCCAGTAGTGCTCTAGTAGTGCTCCAGTAGTGCTCCAGTAGTGTTCCAGTAGTCCTCCAATAGTGTTCCAGTAGTGTTCCAGTAGTCCTCCAGTAGTCCTCCAGTAGTGTTCCAGAAGTGTTCCGGTAGTCATCCAGTAGTGCTCCAGTAGTGTGCCAGTAGTGCTCCAGTAGTGCTCCAGTAGTCCTCCAGTAGTCCTCCAGTAGTCCTCCAGTAGTGTTCCAAAAGTCCTCCAATAGTGCTCAAGTAGTGCTCCAGTAGCTTCAGTATTGCTCCAGTAGTGTTGCAGTAGTCCTCCAGTAGTGTTCCAGTAGTGTTCCAGTAGTACTCCAGTAGTGCTCCAGTAGTGCTCCATTAGCTCCAGTAGTGCTCCAGTAGTGCTCCAGTAGCTCCAGTAGTGCTCCAGTGGTGCTCCAGTAGCTCCAGTAGTGTTCCAGTAGTCCTCCAGTAGTGCTCCAGTAGTCATCCAGTAGTGTTCCAGTAGTGTTCCAGTAGTGTTCCAGTAGTACTCCAGTAGTGCTCCAGTAGTGCTCCATTAGCTCCAGTAGTGCTCCAGTAGTGGTCCAGTAGCTCCAGTAGTGCTCCAGTGGTGCTCCAGTAGCTCCAGTAGTGTTCCAGTAGTCCTCCAGTAGTCCTCCAGTAGGGTTCCAGTAGTGCTCCAGTAGTGCTCCAGGAGTGCTCCAGTAGTGCTTCAGTAGTGCGCCAGTAGTGTTCTAGTTGTGCTCCAGTAGTGCTCCAGTAGTGTTCCAGTAGTGCTCCAGTAGCTCCAGTAGTGCTCCAGTAGTGTTCCAGTAGTGCTCCAGTAGTCCTCCAGTAGTGCTCCAGTAGCTCCAGTATTGTTCCAGTAGTGCTCCAGTAGTGCTCCAGTAGTGCTCCAGTAGTGTTCCAGTAGTCCTCCAGTAGTGTTCCAGTAGTGTTCAAGTAGTCCTCCAGTAGTGCTCTAGTAGTGCTCCAGTAGTGTTCCAGTAGTCCTCCAGTAGTGCTCCAGTAGTGCTCCAGCAGTGCTCCAGTAGTCCTCCAGTAGTGCTCCAGTAGTGTTCCAGTAGTCCTCAAGTAGTGTTCCAGTAGTGTTTAAGTAGTCCTCCAGTAGTCCTCCAGTAGTGCTCCAGTAGTCATCCAGTAGTGTTCCAGTAGTCCTCCAGTAGTGCTCCAGCAGTCCTCCAGTAGTGTTCCGGTAGTCCTCCAGTAGTTTTTCAGTAGTCCTCCAGTAGTGCTCCAGTAGTCCTCCAGTTGGGCTCCAGTAGTGCTCCAGTAGTCCTCCAGTTGTGCTCCAGTAGTCATCCAGTAGTGTTCCAGTAGTCCTCCAGTGGTGCTCCAGTAGTCCTCCAGTAGTGTTCCAGTAGTCCTCCAGTAGTGCTCCAGTAGTCCTCCAGTAGTGCTCCAGTGGTGCTCCAGTAGTCCTCCAGTAGTGCTCCAGTAGTCATCCAGTAGTGCTCTAGTAGTGCTCCAGTAGTGCTCCAGTAGTGTTCCAGTAGTCCTCCAATAGTGTTCCAGTAGTGTTCCAGTAGTCCTCCAGTAGTCCTCCAGTAGTGTTCCAGAAGTGTTCCGGTAGTCATCCAGTAGTGCTCCAGTAGTGTTCCAGTAGTGCTCCAGTAGTGCTCCAGTAGTCCTCCAGTAGTCCTCCAGTAGTCCTCCAGTAGTGTTCCAAAAGTCCTCCAATAGTGCTCAAGTAGTGCTCCAGTAGCTTCAGTATTGCTCCAGTAGTGTTGCAGTAGTCCTCCAGTAGTGTTCCAGTAGTGTTCCAGTAGTACTCCAGTAGTGCTCCAGTAGTGCTCCATTAGCTCCAGTAGTGCTCCAGTAGTGCTCCAGTAGCTCCAGTAGTGCTCCAGTGGTGCTCCAGTAGCTCCAGTAGTGTTCCAGTAGTCCTCCAGTAGGGTTCCAGTAGTGCTCCAGTAGTGCTCCAGGAGTGCTCCAGTAGTGCTTCAGTAGTGCGCCAGTAGTGTTCTAGTTGTGCTCCAGTAGTGCTCCAGTAGTGTTCCAGTAGTGCTCCAGTAGCTCCAGTAGTGCTCCAGTAGTGTTCCATTAGTGCTCCAGTAGTCCTCCAGTAGTGCTCCAGTAGCTCCAGTTGTCCTCCAGTACTGTTCCAGTAGTACTCCAGTAGCTCCAGTAGTGCTCCAGTAGTCCTCCAGTAGTCCTCCAGTAGTGCTCCAGTAGTGCTCCAGTAGTGCTCCAGTAGTCCTCCAGTAGTGCTCCAGTAGTGCTCCAGTAGTCATCCAGTAGTGTTCCAGTAGTGCTCCAGTAGCTCCAGTACTGCTCCAGTAGTGTTCCAGTAGTCCTCCAGTAGTGTTCCAGTAGTGCTCCAGTAGTGCTCCAGTAGTGCTCCAGTAGTGCTCCAGTAGTCCTCCAGTAGTGCTCCAGTAATGCGCCAGTAGTGCTCCAGTAATCCTCCAGTAGTGCTCCAGTAGTGATCCAGTAATGCTCAAGTAGTGCTCCAGTAGTGCTCCAGTAGTGCTCCAGTAGTCCTCCAGTAGTGTTCCAGTAGTGTTCCAGTAGTGCTCCAGTAATCCTCCAGTAGTCCTCCAGTAGTCCCCCAGTAGTGCTCCAGTAGCTCCAGTAGTGCTCCAGTAGTGTTCCAGTAGTCCTCCAGTAATGTTCCAGTAGTGCTCCAGTAGTGTTCCAGTAATCCTCCAGTAGTGTTCCAGTAGTGCTCCAGTAGCTCCAGTAGTGCTCCAGTAGTGCTCCAGTATCTCCAGTAGTGCTCCAGTAGTGCTCCAGTAGTGTTCCAGTAGTCCTCCAGTAGTGCTCCAGTATTGCTCCAGTAGTGTTCCAGTAGTGCTCCAGTAGTGCTTTAGTGTTCCAGTAGAGCTCCAGTAGCTCCAGTAGTGCTCCAGTAGTGCTCCAGTAGTGTTCCAGTAGTCCTCCAGTAGTCCTCCAGTAGTGTTCCAGTAGTGCTCCAGTAGTCCTCCAGTAGTCCTCCAGTAGTGCTCCAGTAGTGCTCCAGTAGCTCCAGTATTCCTCCAGTAGTGCTACTGTAGTGTTCCAGTAGTGCTCCAGTAGTGCTCCAGTAGCTCCAGTAGTGCTCCAGTAGTGCTCCAGTAGTCCTCCAGTAGTGTTCCAGTAGTGCTCCAGTAGCTCCAGTAGTGTTCCAGTAGTGCTCCAGTAGATCCAATAGTGCTCCAGTAGGGTTCCAGTAGTCCTCCAGTAGTGCTCCAGTAGTGTTCCAGTAGTCCTCCAGTAGTGCTCCAGTAGTGTTCCAGTAGTGTTCCAGTAGTCCTCCAGTAGTGCTCCAGTAGTGTTCCAGTAGTGTTCCAGTAGTCATCCAGTAGTGCTCCAGTAGTGCTCCAGTAGTGCTCCAGTAGTGCTCCAGTAGTCCACCAGTAGTGTTCCAGTAGTCCTCCAGTAGTGCTCCAGTAGTGTTCCAGTAGTCCTCCAGTAGTGCTCCAGTAGTGCTCCAGTAGTGCTCCAGTAGTGCTCCAGTAGCTTCAGTAGTGCTCCAGTAGTGCTCATTAGTGTGCCAGTAGTGCTCCAGTAGTGTTCCAGTAGTCCTCCAGTAGTGTTCCAGTAGTGCTCCAGTAGTGCTCCAGTAGTGCTCCAGTAGCTCCAGTAGTGCTCCAGTAGTTTTCCAGTAGTGTTCCAGTAGTCCTCCAGTAGTGTTCCAATAGTGTTCCAGTAGTCATCCACTAGTGCTCCCGTAGTGCTTCAGTAGTGCTCCAGTAGTCCTCCAGTAGTGTTCCAGTAGTCCTCCAGTAGTGCTCCAGTAGTGCTCCAGTAATGTTCCAGTAGTCCTCCAGTAGTGCTCCAGCAGTGCTCCAGTAGCTTCAGTAGTGCTCCAGTAGTGTTCCAGTAGTCCTCCAGTAGTGTTCCAGTAATGTTCCAGTAGTGCTCCAGTAGTGCTCCAGTAGTGTTCCAGTAGTCCTCCAGTAGTGCTCCAGTAGTGCTCCAGTAGCTTCAGTAGTGCTCCAGTAGTGCTCATTAGTGTGCCAGTAGTGCTCCAGTAGTGTTCCAGTAGTCCTCCAGTAGTGTTCCAGTAATGTTCCAGTTGTGCTCCAGTAGTGCTCCATTAGCTCCAGTAGTGCTCCAGTAGTGCTCCAGTAGTGCTCATTAGTGTGCCAGTAGTGCTCCAGTAGTGTTCCAGTAGTCCTCCAGTAGTGTTCCAGTAATGTTCCAGTTGTGCTCCAGTAGTGCTCCATTAGCTCCAGTAGTGCTCCAGTAGTGCTCCAGTAGCTCCAGTAGTGTTCCAGTAGTTTTCCAGTAGTGCTCCAGTAGTGTTCCAGTAGTGTTCCAGTAGTTTGCCAGTAGTGCTCCATTAGCTCCAGTAGTGCTCCAGTAGTCCTCCAGTAGTGTTCCAGTAGTCTTCCTGTAGTGTTTTAGTAGTGCTCCAGTAATGCTCCATTAGCTCCAGTAGTGCTCATGTAGTTCTCCAGTAAACTAAGTGTGTCATTACTACGTGTACATGCTAACAGAAAGGAACGAGGTGGGTAGATAACTAAGTGTGCCATTACTACGTTCACATGCTAACAGAAAGGAACGAGGTGGGTAGATAACTAAGTGTGCCATTACTACGTTCACATGCTAACAGAAAGGAACGAGGTGGGTAGATAACTAAGTGTGTCATTGTAGCAAAGCAATCTCTTACACGTTTCCTTCATTTTGGTTCTATTATCAATACAAAAGGTCATAACTGATTTAGGCCCAATAGGTCTGGCATATTCCCACGTTCAAGGAGAGTTCCATTTTGATTGGGTTATTTTTCCTAAAAACATTTAGGCCAACCTATATAAAAATAAAAAAACAACTCTGCATATCACATTTACATTTTAGTCATTTAGCAGACGCTCTTATCCAGAGCGACTTACAGTTAGTGCATACATTATTATTTTTCATACCCCCTGTGGGAATCGAACCCACAACCCTGGCGTTGCAAACGCCATGCTCTATCAACTGAGCTACATCCCTGCCAGCCATTCCCTCCCCTACCCTGGACAACGCTGGGCCAATTGCACGCCGCCCCATGGGTCTCCCGGTTGCGGCCGGCTACGACAGAGCCTGGATTCAAACCAGGATCCTTAGTGGCACAGCTAGCACTGTGATGCAGTGCCTTAGACCACTGCGCCACTCGGGAGACTAGCCCATCCTGGCAAGAGTGTCCATAAGGGTGTTTAGCATCCCCAGTGGCTCTGCAAGTGTGGAGAGGGTATTCTCCGCTGCTGGCCGGCTCTCAAGGCACCATTTAATTTGTATTTCATTCTAAGTAAGTCACAGCCTAAATGCACAATTTAAAGACTATAATGATTTAATACAACGTTGTTAAACTTCTGAGCTCTTTATGTCCTTACCTGCTTAATGTGTCACACTAGCAAATGCTTCACAATGTATTTCTTTGTTTTTATTTAACCTTTATTTAACTAGGCAAGTCAGTTAAGAACAAATGTTTATTTACAATGACGGCCTACACCTGCCAAACCCGGACGACGCTGGGCCAATTGTGCGCCGCCCTATGGGACTCCCAATCACGGCCGGTTGTGATACAGCCTGGAATCGAACCAGGGGTCTGTAGTGACGCCTCTAGCACTGAGATGCAGTGCCTTAGACCGCTGAGATGCAGTGCCTTAGACCAGTGCCTTAGACCACTGATATGCAGTGCCTTAGACCAGTGCCTTAGACCACTGAGATGCAGTGCCTTAGACCAGTGCCTTAGACCACTGAGATGCAGTTCCTTAGACCACTGAGATGCAGTGCCTTAGACCGCTGCCTTAGACCACTGAGATGCAGTGCCTTAGACCGCTGCCTTAGACCACTGAGATGCAGTGCCTTAGACCACTGAGATGCAGTGCCTTAGACCACTGAGATGCAGTGCCTTAGACCGCTGCCTTAGACCACTGAGATGCAGTGCCTTAGACCACTGAGATGCAGTGCCTTAGACCAGTGCCTTACACCACTGAGATGCAGTGCCTTAGACCGCTGAGATGCAGTACCTTAGACCACTGAGATGCAGTGCCTTAGACCACTGCCTTAGACCACTGATATGCAGTGCCTTAGACCACTGCCTTAGACCACTGATATGCAGTGCCTTAGACCACTGAGATGCAGTGCCTTAGACCACTGAGATGCAGTGCCTTAGACCAGTGCCTTAGACCACTGAGATGCAGTGCCTTAGACCACTGAGATGCAGTGCCTTAGACCGCTGCCTTAGACCACTGAGATGCATTGCCTTAGACCGCTGCATTAGACCACTGAGATGCAGTGCCTTAGACCACTGAGATGCATTGCCTTAGACCGCTGCCTTAGTCCACTGAGATGCAGTGCCTTAGACCAGTGCCTTAGACCACTGAGATGCAGTGCCTTAGACCGCTGAGATGCAGTACCTTAGACCACTGAGATGCAGTGCCTTAGACCACTGCCTTAGACCACTGATATGCAGTGCCTTAGACCACTGCCTTAGACCACTGATATGCAGTGCCTTAGACCGCTGCCTTAGACCACTGAGATGCATTGCCTTAGACCGCTGCCTTAGACCACTGAGATGCAGTGCCTTAGACCACTGAGATGCAGTGCCTTAGACCGCTGCCTTAGACCACTGAGATGCAGTGCCTTAGACCAGTGCCTTAGATCACTGAGATGCAGTGCCTTAGACCACTGAGATGCAGTGCCTTAGACCGCTGCCTTAGACCACTGAGATGCAGTGCCTTGGACCACTGAGATGCAGTGCCTTAGACCACTGAGATGCAGTGCCTTAGACCGCTGCCTTAGACCACTGAGATGCAGTGCCTTAGACCACTGAGATGTAGTGCCTTAGACCACTGAGATGCAGTGCCTTAGACCACTGAGATGCAGTGCCTTAGACCACTGAGATGCAGTGCCTTAGACCACTGAGATGCAGTGCCTTAGACCACTGAGATGCAGTGCCTTAGACCACTGAGATGCAGTGCCTTAGACCGCTGACATGCAGTGCCTTAGACCACTGCCTTAGACCACTGATATGCAGTGCCTTAGACAGCTGAGATGCAGTGCCTTAGACCACTGACATGCAGTGCCTTAGACCACTGCCTTAGACCACTGATATGCAGTGCCTTAGACCGCTGCCTTAGACCAGTGCCTTAGACCAGTGCCTTAGACCAGTGCCTTAGACCGCTGCCTTAGACCAGTGCCTTAGACCAGTGCCTTAGACCAGTGCCTTAGACCACTGAGATGCAGTGCCTTAGACCGCTGAGATGCAGTGCCTTAGACCACTGCCTTAGACCACTGCCTTAGACCGCTGCCTTAGACCGCTGCCTTAGACCGCTGAGATGCAGTGCCTTAGACCAGTGCCCTAGACCACTGCCTTAGACCGCTGCCTTAGACCGCTGCCTTAGACCGCTGACATGCAGTGCCCTAGACCAGTGCCTTAGACCAGTGCCTTAGACCGCTGCCTTAGACCAGTGCCTTAGACCAGTGCCTTAGACCAGTGCCTTAGACCAGTGCCTTAGACCACTGCCTTAGACCGCTGCCTTAGACCGCTGCCTTAGACCGCTGCCTTAGACTGCTGCCTTAGACCGCTGCCTTAGACCGCTGCCTTAGACCGCTGCCTTAAACCAGTGCCTTAGACCAGTGCCTTAGACCAGTGCCTTAGACCGCTGCCTTAGTCCGCTGCCTTAGACCAGTGCCTTAGACCACTGCCTTAGACCACTGCCTTAGACCAGTGCCTTAGACCCCTGCCTTAGACCAGTGCCTTAGACCGCTGCCTTAGACCACTGCCTTAGACCAGTGCCTTAGACCACTGCCTTAGACCACTGCCTTAGACCACTGCCTTAGACCACTGCCTTAGACCAGTGCCTTAGACCGCTGCCTTAGACCAGTGCCTTAGACCAGTGCCTTAGACCACTGCCTTAGACCAGTGCCTTAGACCAGTGCCTTAGACCACTGCCTTAGACCACTGCCTTAGACCACTGCCTTAGACCACTGCCTTAGACCACTGCCTTAGACCAGTGCCTTAGACCACTGCCTTAGACCAGTGCCTTAGACCGCTGCCTTAGACCAGTGCCTTAGACCAGTGCCTTAGACCAGTGCCTTAGACCACTGCCTTAGACCAGTGCCTTAGACCACTGCCTTAGACCAGTGCCTTAGACCACTGCCTTAGACCAGTGCCTTAGACCAGTGCCTTAGACCACTGCCTTAGACCAGTGCCTTAGACCAGTGCCTTAGACCGCTGCCTTAGACCAGTGCCTTAGACCAGTGCCTTAGACCGCTGCCTTTGACCGCTGCCTTAGACCAGTGCCTTAGACTGCTGCCTTAGACCAGTGCCTTAGACCAGTGCCTTAGACCGCTGCCTTAGACCAGTGCCTTAGACCAGTGCCTTAGACCAGTGCCTTAGACCGCTGCCTTAGACCAGTGCCTTAGACCGCTGCCTTAGACCGCTGCCTTAGACCAGTGCCTTAGACCGCTGCCTTAGACCAGTGCCTTAGACCGCTGCCTTAGACCGCTGCCTTAGACCAGTGCCTTAGACCACTGCCTTAGACCACTGCGCCACTCGGGAGCTATAGCCTTGAAATAATTTAAATAATATAGCCTAAATAATTCATTTCTGTTCCTTCTTAGGTTCCCTGTCTGGCATAAATGATCACTCACACAAGTGAACAAAAACCAACGTCCGTTCAGATATCCAGATAGTCAGATATCCAGATAATCAGATATCCAGATGGTCAGATAGTCAGATATCCAGATGGTCAGATAGGCAGCGCTAGTTAGACGGTCAACCGGTCAGATGGTCAGATGGTCAGATATCCAGATGGTCAGATATCCAGATAGTCAGATATCCAGATGGTCAGATGGTCAGATATCCAGATGGTCAGATAGGCAGCGCTAGTTAGACGGTCAACTGGTCAGATGGTCAGATGGTCAGATATCCAGATGGTCAGATGGTCAGATATTCAGATGGTCAGATATCCAGATGGTCAGATGGTCAGATGGTCAGATGGTCAGATGGTCAGATATCCAGATGGTCAGATGGTCAGATATCCAGATGGTCAGAGGATCAGATATCCAGATAGTCAGATGGTCAGATGGTCAGATATCCAGATGGTCAGATGGTCAGATATCCAGAAGGTCAGATATCTATATGGTCAGATGGTCAGGTGGTCAGATGGTCTGATATCCAGATATCCAGATATTCAGATATCCAGATATTCAGATGGTCAGATGGTCAGATATCCAGATATCCAGATATTCAGATGGTCAGATGGTCAGATGGTCAGATATCTAGATGGTCAGATGGTCAGATATCCAGATATCTAGATGGTCAGATGGTCAGAGGATCAGATATTCAGATGGTCAGATGGTCAGATGGTCAGATGGTCAGATATCTAGATGGTCAGATGGTCAGATGATCAGATCTCCAGATATTCAGAAGGTCAGATATCTAGATGTTCAGATGGTCAGATGGTCTGATATCCAGATATCCAGATGGTCAGATGGTCAGATATTCAGATATCCAGATGGTCAGATGGTCAGATATTCAGATGGTCAGATATCCAGATATTCAGCTGGTCAAATGGTCAGATATCCAGATAGTCAGATATCTAGATGGTCAGATGGTCTGATGGTCAGATGATCAGAGGATCAGATATTCAGATGGTCAGATGGTCAGATATCCAGATGGTCAGATGGTCAGATATCCAGATGGTCAGATGGTCAGATTGTCAGATATCCAGATGGTCAGATGGTCAGATGGTCAGATATTCAGAAGGTCAGATATCTAGATGGTCAGATGGTCAGATGGTCTGATATCCAGATATCCAGATATCCAGATGGTCAGATGGTCAGATATTCAGATGGTCAGACATCCAGATATTCAGCTGATCAAATGGTCAGATATCCAGATAGTCAGATATCTAGATGGTCAGATGGTCTGATGGTCAGATGATCAGAGGATCATATATCCAGATAGTCAGATATCTAGATGGTCAGATATTCAGAAGGTCAGATATCTAGATGGTCAGATAGTCAGATAGTCAGATAGTCAGATAGTCAGATGGTCAGATGGTCAGATGGTCAGATATCCAGATAGTCATCCTTAACAGAGATCATATAATTCAGGATGTGTGTGTATGTGTGTGTATGTGTGTGTGTGTGTGTGTGTGTGTGTGTGTGTGTGTGTGTGTCACTCACCACAGTGGTGTATGGGTTGACATTCTCCAGGGTTAGTCAGCACCACAGTCAGACCGTCTTCACAGCGAGGAACATCCGGCAGCTGACAACTCACCAGGTCACACACTACATACATACGCGCACACACACATAAAAATGCACCACACACACAGTACACACACAAAATACACCAACACACACACACACACACACAGTACACACCCACAGAGCACACGCAAAAATACACCACACACACACACACACACACACACAACCCAAACACATACACACACACAGTACACACACACAGTACACACACAATAGACACCCACACAAATACACAACACGCACACACACACACATAGTACACAGCATTATAGTATCACACACTACACATACTGTATTACAGTATTAATGTTGTGTAGTATTAGTGTAGACTACAGTATAGTAGTCCAATATAGTGCATTATATATATTAGTATTGTATAGTGTAGTACGTACCACACTGCTACTCCGGACAACACTTAATGTATTGTTGTATTGTATACAGTATAGTATAGTAATGTAGTGTGGTGTAGTATTATAATATATGGTATATATTAGTATAGTATAATATTCTAGTAGTCTAGTATTATAATATACAGTATATATAAGTATAGTATAGTATTCTAGTAATGTTGTATTATAAAATGCATATATATTAGTATAGTATATTATTCTACTAGTGTAGTATTATAATATAAAGTATAGATTAGTATAGTACAGTAATCTGTTAATGTAATATTAAAATATATTGTATATATTAGTATAGTATTCTAGTAGTGTAGTATTATATAATCAAGTATATATTAGTATGTAATATAGTAGTGTAGTATTATATAATAAAGTATATATTAGTATGTAATGTAGTAGTGTAGTATTATATAATACAGTATATATTAGTATGTAATGTAGTAGTGTAGTATTATATAATAAAGTATATATTAGTATGTAATGTAGTAGTGTAGTATTATATAATACAGTATATATTAGTATGTAATGTAGTAGTGAGGGTATTATATAATACAGTTATATTAGTATGTAATGTAGTAGTGTAGTATTATATATATACAGTAATATTCGTATCAGTAATATTAGTTAGGTAATGTAGTGCGTATATATTATAATACAGGTATATATTAGTATGTCATGTAGTAGTGTAGTATTATATAATACAGTATATATTAGTATGTCATGTAGTAGTGTAGTATTATATAATACAGTATATATTAGTATGTAATGTAGTAGTGTAGTATTATATAATACAGTATATATTAGTATGTAATGTAGTAGTGTAGTATTATATAACACAGTATATATTAGTATGTAATGTAGTAGTGAGGTATTATATAATATAGTATATATTAGTATGTAATGTAGTAGTGTAGTATTATATAATACAGTATATATTACATTTACATTTACATTTTAGTCATTTAGCAGACGCTCTTAACCAGAGCGACTTACAGGAGCAATTAGGGTTAAGTGCCTTGCTCAAGGGCACATTAACGTCAATTAGCAGACGCTCTTAGCAGAGCGACTCACAAATTGGTTGCGTTCACCCTAAGCCAGTGCGGGATAACCACTTTACAATTTTGGGGGGGGGGGGGGGGGGGGGGGGGGGGGGGGGGGGGGGGGGTTAGAAGGAATACTTTAGCCTATCCCAGGTATTCCTTAAAGAGGTGGGGTTTCAAATGTCTCCGGAAGGTGGTGAGTGACTCCGCTGTCCTGGCGTCTATTAGTATAGTATTCTAGTAGTGTAGTATTATATAATACAGTATATATTAGTATGTAATGTAGTAGTGTAGTGTAATATTATATAATACAGTATATATTAGTATAGTATTCTAGTAGTGTAGTATTATATAATACAGTATATATTATTACGTACCACACTCGTACTCCGGACAACACTTGGACTCCCTCTTCTCCCTCAGAACCTCACAGGGTCCACACGCTGGAGCTACACACACACACACACACACACACACACACACACACACACACACACACACACACACACACACACACACACACATTTTTTATGATGAATGTTATCAGATCTTCAACCAAAACCTAATATTAGACAAAGAGAACCTGAGTTTACAAATAACAACACCAGTAAATACTTATTTTATTTATTTAATTAGCAAAGTTATGCAACACCCAATGACCCTGTGTGAAAAGTAATTGTCCCCTTACACTCAATAACTGGTTGTGCCACCTTTAGCTGCAATGACTGCAACCAAATGCTTCCTGTAGTTGTTGATCAGTCTCTCACATCGTTGTGGAGGAATTTTGGCCCACTCTTCCATGCAGAACTGCTTTAACTCAGTGACATTTGTGGCTTTTCAATCATGAACTGCTCGTTTCAAGTCCTGCCTCAACATCTCAATTGGGATTAGTTCTGGACTTTGATTAGGCCATTCCAAAACTTCAAATGTGTTGCTTTTTAGCCATTTTCATTTAGACTTGATTGTATGTTTTGGATCATTGTCTTGCTGCATGACCCAGCTTCGCTTCTGCTTCAGCTCACAGACGGATGGTCTGACATTCTCCTGTAGAATTCTCTGATACAGAGCAGAATTCATATGATTCCTTCTATTAAGGCAAGTCGTCCAGGTCCTGAGGCAGCAAAGCATCCCCAAACATCACACTACCACCACCATGCTTGACTGTTCGTATGAGATTCTTACTGTGGAATGCAGTGTTTGGTTTTCGCCAGACGTAATGGGACCCATCTCGTACAAAAAGTTGACTCAAGTTTGCCAAAAAGCACCTGGATGATCATCAAGACTTTTGGTAGAATGTGCTATGGACAGATTAGTCAAAAGTATAAGTTTTTGGACGACATGGGTGTGTTACCTTTATGATCAATGCAGGGTCGAGCGGTGCAGTTGATACGTTGACCATCCAGACACATACAAATCAGACATGTGTTCTCCTCTGGCACCCAACTCTGTAGATACTGCACACAAACACAGACCTTTTACTATCCTTGTGGGGAGCAAACAATTTATTCCCATTCAAAATCCAATTTTTCCTAAACCCTAACCCCTAAACCCCTAAACCCTAAACCCTGACCCCTAACCCCTAACCCCTAACCCCTAACCCCTAAACCCTAAACCCTAAACCCTAAACGCTAAACCCTAACCCCTAACCCCTAAACCAGGGGTTCCCAAACTGTTTTTCTCCATGACCCCATTTTGATATCTGAAAATTCTTACGACCCCAAACCATGTGAAAAAAACGATGTAATTAACAGCCAATGTTTACTTTTTTATTTGGCGCTATGGCACTCAATCGGAAAACATTCGGACCCTATTTCTGATTGTCTTCTCAACTCACCATCACATACTGTACGTTTAATGTGCGGCTATGACGGTCAATTTCTAATTAGTCTGACAATTTCTGATTGTCTTTTATTTCTGATTGTATCTCATCTCACTCAATGAGATGGGTGTGCTTGATGCATGTTGCGTCGGAGCTTCTCAAAGTCTGGGGGCGTGGTCGACAGTGCGCACCTCATCTCTGCTGTCACATCCAACCAGGATGGATATTTGGTTTTAAAGCAGACGAGAGCACGGAATCCAGCTTCACACAGATATGAGCTGGCGAAGGGTACCATCCTTGTTTTACTATCCTTGTGAGGACTCTGGTCCCAAAAACGATAGTAAAACCGAAAACACAAACACACACACACGTACTGTAAATACCTTTTTTCCTTTTTGTGTGTGTGGTAAAGAATACAGTAGGAGCAGAGAAGCAGAAAGAGAGGGAGGAGAAATGTAGAGGGTTAGGGTTAGGCCAAACTGGCACGTTGATTTTATCAGTATCCGGGATTTCCAATGCTATGTTAGCCAATTAGACACACTCCACACGCGCACCGACCAAAATGTATCTGTTTCAAATGTATTGCTTTATTTTATTGCATTGTTGGAAAGTCAGCATGTCAGTGTTCATCTACCCCTGTTGTTTACGCAGCATGTGACAAATACTGTCCATTCTCCACGGATCAGTTTGGCCGCGGCCTGATGCAGGGATGGAACCAGGATCCCAGCCAGATGGGGATATATGTGGTTACCGCTTGAACAGAGGATCCCAGCCACATGGGGATATATGTGGTTACCGCTTGAACAGAGGATCCCAGCCACATGGGGATATATGTGGTTACCGCTTGAACAGAGGATCCCAGCCACATGGGGATATATGTGGTTACCGCTTGAACAGAGGATCCCAGCCAGATGGGGATATATGTGGTTACCGCTTGAACAGAGGATCCCAGCCACATGGGGATATATGTGGTTACCGCTTGAACAGAGGATCCCAGCCAGATGGGGGATATATGTGGTTACCGCTTGAACAGAGGATCCCCAGCCACATGGGGATATATGTGGTTACCGCTTGAACAGAGGATCCCAGCCAGATGGGGATATATGTGGTTACCGCTTGAACAGAGGATCCCAGCCAGATGGGGATATATGTGGTTACCGCTTGAACAGAGGATCCCAGCCAGATGGGGATATATGTGGTTACCGCTTGAACAGAGGATCCCAGCCAGATGGGGATATATGTGGTTACCGCTTGAACAGAGTCTGTGTCCTGGTGAACACCTTTATGTGTGTGTGAGTGTGGATGTGTGTTGTCTCACCGGGTGTTTGTGTCCGTGCTGGTCGACACACTGGTTGCAGGCGTCAGGTGACACACAATCCCCCCCCAGGAGCACCGTGTTCCTGGGACAAAAACACCCTTCTGTTGGCTTGGTGATACACACACTCCCATTACCACTGACAGCCCCCGAGGTGCCAGGCAACAGGCCAATGCTGCTGCAGTCCTCCACACACCCGGTCCAACACGCATCATACTCCATGGAGCTGGGGCACTGCATGGCTACACACACAATAACAATCATCATTCATAAGAAGAAGAATCATTCATAATAAAAATAATAATAATTTATAATACAAATAGTAATAATTATGCATAATGACAACAATATAACAATAATAACAATAATAATAATTCATAATAATCACCATCATCATTAATAATAATAATAATAATAATAATTAATAATGATAATAATAATAATAATAGTAATAATAATAATAATAATTACTAATAATAATAATTAATCATGATAATAATAATTCGAAAGAATCATATTCATTCATAATAACAATAGCAAATAATAATATGAATAATCATCATCGTCATCATTAATAATAATAACAATCATTAATATTAATAATAATATTCCTTCATAATAATAATAATAATAATAATAATAATAATAATAATAATAATAATAATATTAAAGGTTTTATTTGTAAAGTGCATTCATCGCAACGAAGGTTCTACAAAGTAAACCGTAAAAACATTGATTTCACTATATTTTAAAACAGAGAGAACACCGAACCGAGACAGGAATCAAAGCTATACAGGTGTCGTCAGATCAGAACACAGACTTACGGCAGAGGTTTGTGCTTCTCCAGTGGACACAGAGTCCTCTCTGTCGGCAGAGATGTGTGTAGGAGGAAATCACATCACAGACGTCTGTCTCCTGACAGGCTTCCTGTTGGCAGCGGATGATGAAAGGCATGATGGGAACGTGAGTGTGGCAGGAGGAGAAAACCTCGGAGCGCAGCACCTCACACGCCCTCGCCGCTCCGTACACACACACTGGGGCATGCCGCGGGACACACACACCCTCGCCACTCGATACCATCCAATCAGAGACGAGAAGAGACGAGTCAGAGGTCGAACTGCCATTCCTCAGAGAGAGATAATTAACCCTCTCCTCGCCACACCACCCTGACACACACACACAAGGCACAGAGACACACACACACACACACACACAAACACATTATTAGTCCTCCAAATGACTTCATTAACGTGTATGTTTACTATGTGTGTGTGTTTGTGTACCACAGATTCCAGAGGTGTGGTTGTTAGTGGAGGAGGTGAGTGTATGTACCACAGATTCCAGAGGTGTGGTTGGTAGTGGAGGAGGTGAGTGTATGTACCACAGATTCCAGAGGTGTGGTTGGTAGTGGAGGAGGTGAGTGTATGTACCACAGATTCCAGAGGTGTGGTTGGTAGTGGAGGAGGTGAGTGTATGTACCACAGATTCCAGAGGTGTGGTTGGTAGTGGAGGAGGTGAGTGTATGTACCACAGATTCCAGAGGTGTGGTTGGTAGTGGAGGAGGTTGGTGTATTTACCACAGATTCCAGAGGTTGTGGGTTGGTATTGGAGGAGGTGAGTGTATGTACCACAGATTCCCAGAGGTGTGGTTGGTAGTGGAGGAGGTGAGTGTATGTACCACAGATTCCAGAGGTGTAGTTGGTAGTGGAGGAGGTGAGTGTGATGGTGAACTCATTGCTCTGAGGAGTAAATGCCAGGATGTAGCCGTGTTCCACTGATCTCAGCTGAAACATCACTCCTCCATAACGCATCACCTCCACCTGACTGGAGTGGAATGGGAGGGAGACAGGCGCTCCATCTACTGCCACCTAGACACACACACACACAGTCATAGTACACACACAGTCATAGTACACACACACTCATAGTACCCCACACTCATAGTACACTAACACACTCATAGTACACACTCAAGTAACACACAGTCATAGTACACACACACTCATAGTACACACACACTCATAGTACACACACATAGTACACACTCATAGTACACACTCATAGTACACACTCATAATACACACACACTCATAGTACACACACACTCATAGTACACACACATCATAGTACACACACATAGTACACACTCATAGTACAAACTCATAGTACATCATACATTACATTAGTCATTACACACGCTCATTATCCAACATAGTACAATCACATAGTACACACCCTGATCGACCCACAACCTGCGTCAATACCCACCAGTCACTAGTACACCCTCCATTCTCCACTACCCTAGACACGCCATTGTACACGCCCATAGTATACTCATGGTCACCACGCTCAGAGTACACCAACTCATAGTACACAGTTAGCACTGCGATCAGGCCTAGTACCACTCGCCACTCAGGAGTTACTCATAGTACACACTCATAGTACACACACATAGTACACACTCATAGTACACACACACAGTCATAGTAAGTACACACACATAGTACACACTGATAGTACACAGTCATAGTACACAAACACAGACACACACAGTCATAGTACACACACATAGTACACACTCATAGTACACACTCATAGTAAACACTCATAGTACACACTCATAGTACACACTCATAGTACACACTCATAGTACACACACATAGTACACACTCATAGTACACACTCATAGTACACACTCATAGTACACACTCATAGTACACTCCCCCCAGGTCCTACCGTCATGTCGTCTTTCAGCAGTACAGTACTCTGCCCATGTGTGACCTCCATGACCTTCATGCAGACTTCGTTCTGATTGGCTGACCCATGGCAGGTTCCGCTGTGCAGCGTGACCTCTGAACCTCCCGTGCCCCCGCCGACCGTCAGCAGGGTGTAGGAACATAGCCCCTCCCCTTCCAGCCTCAGCGCCAGGCCGTCAAACCGCACCACGTGGTTGGTTGAGCTACCCATACACTCACCTGGAGGAGGGAGAGAGAGAGGGAGGGTGGTTAGGGTTAGGGTTCCTGATGGCTGTGTTCTTGATGGCTGTGTTCCTGATGGCTGTGTTCCTGATGGCTGTGTTCCTGATGGCTGTGTTCCTGATGGCTGTGTTCCTGATGGCTGTGTTCCTGATGGCTGTGTTCCTGATGGCTGTGCTCCTGATGGCTGTGTTCCTGATGGCTGTGTTCCTGATGGCTGTGTTCCTGATGGCTGTGTTCCTGATGTGTGTCGGTGACTGTGTGTAATATGTGTGTGTGTGTGTGTGTGTGTGTGTGTGTGTGTGTGTGTGTGTGTGTGTGTGTGTGTGAGTGTGCTTAATGTGTGTACTAACAGGGGCAGTCCCAGTGGCAGCCACAGTTGTCCTGAACTCTGAGAGGACTCATGTGGTTACTGCAGGCTGGGGGCTCCAGACGATCACAGTTCACCTGGATAATAGAATATAACATAATATACTTTAATATGCTATAATATAACATAAAATACTTTTTTTTTCTGTAATACAGTACTTTAATATAATATATTATAATATACCATACTATAATGTATTATACTGTAATAAACTATCATATAATGTCATATACAGTGGCTTGCGAAAGTTTTCACCCCCTTGGCACCCCCCTTGGCATTTTTCCTATTTTGTTGCCTTACATCCAGGAATTAAAATTGATTTTTTGGGGGTTTGTATCATTTGATTTACACAACATGCCTACCATTTTGAAGATGCAACATATTTTTTATTGTGAAACAAACAAGAAATTAGACCAAAAAAAAGCATAGCTATTCACCCCCCAAAAGTAAATACTTTGTAGAGCCACCTTTTGCAGCAAATACAGCTGCAAGTCTCTTGGGGTATGTCTCTATAAGCTTGGCACATCTAGCCACTGGGATTTATGCCCATTCTTCAAGGCAAAACTGTTCCAGCTCCTTCAAGTTGGATGGGTTCTGCTGGTGTACAGCAATCTTTAAGTCATACCACATAATCTCAATTGGATTGAGGTCTGGGCTTTGACTAGGCCATTCCAAGACATTTAAAAGTTTCCCCATAAACCACTCAAGTGTTGCTTTAGCAGTATGCTTAGGGTCATTGTCCTGCTGGAAGGTGAACCTCCGTCCCAGTCTCAAATCTCTGGAAGACTGAAACAGGTTTCCCTCAAGAATTTCCCTGTATTTAGCGCCATCCATCATTCCTTCAATTCTGACCAGTTTCCCAGTCCCTGCTGATGAAAAACATCCCCACAGCATGATGCTGCCACCACCATACTTCACTGTGGGGATGGTGTTCTCAGGATGATGATAGGTGTTGGGTCTGCGCCGGACATAGCGTTTTCTTTGATGGCCAAAAAGCTGACCAGAGTACATTCTTCCATTTGTTTGGGGAGTCTCCCACATGCCGTTTGCTTATTTTTTTCTTTAAGCAATGGCTTTTTTCTGGCCACTCTTCCGTAAAGCCCAGCTCTGTGGCGTGTACGGCTTAAAGTGGTCCTACGGACAGATATAACAATCTCCGCTGTGGAGCTTTGCAGCTCCTTCAGGGTTGTCTTTGGTCTCTTTGTTGCCTCTCTGATTAATACCCTCCTTGCCTGGTCCGTGAGTTTTGGTTGGCGGCCCTCTCTTGGCAGGTTTGTTGTGGTGCCATATTCTTTCAATTTTTTTATAATGGATTTAATGGTGCTCCGTGGGATGTTCAAAGTTTCTGATATTTTTTTATAACCCAACCCTGATCTGTACTTCTCCACAACTTTGTCCCTGACCTGTTTGGAGAGCTCCTTGGTCTTCATGGTGCTGCTTGCTTGGTGTTGCCCCTTGCTTAGTGGTGTTGCAGACTCTGGGGCCTTTCAGAACAGGTGTATATATACTGAGATCATGTGACAGATCATGTGACACTTAGGTTGTGGACTTTATTTAACTAATTGTGACATCTGAAGGTAATTGGTTGCACCAGATCTTATTTAGGGGCTTCATAGCAAAGGGGGTGAATACATATGCACGCACCACTTTTCCGTTATTTATTTATTAGAATTCTTTGAAACAAGTAATTTTTTTCATTTCACTTCACCAATTTGGACTATTTTGTGTATGTCCATTATATGAAATCCAAATAAAAATCCATTTAAATTACAGGTTGTAATGCAACAAAATAGGAAAAACGCCAAGGGGGATGAATACTTTTGCAAGGCACTGTACTAAACTATAATATAATATAATATAATATGCTATAATGTAATGTAATGTAACATCATATACTTTAAAATACTATAATGGAATATACTATAATACAATATAACATAATATGTTTGAATATACTATAATATATTATAATATACTATAATATACTATAATATAATGTAATATACTATAATATAATTGAAAATACTATAATATAACATAATATGCATATATATATATATATATATATATATATATATATATATATATATATATATATACACACTGTAATATACCATAATATAATGTAATATACACTAATATAATAAACTATAATACAATATACCTTCATAATATACTATAATATAATATACTATAATATATTATAACACACTATAATATACTATAATATGCTATAATATACCATAATATCATATAATATAACATACTACAATATACTATAATATACTATAATGTAATATATCAGGCTGTGATCCAGACGATCACAGTTCACCTTGTGGCTCTGAACCGTCAGCGCTCCGCTGGGGTGGCACAGCACCGAGTGACATCTGTCCGGAAGCAGCCACGACTCACCAGGCTACATACAAAGTCAGAGCTGAATATTCAGACTGATAAAGGAAAACAGTAGTGAAAGTAACTGTCCAGTGAAAATCTCACTTTTAAAAGTTCATATTCTGTTAACTCGTATTTAAATAAGGTTGTTGCCTTGTCCTATACTTATATTTGAGGTACACGCCCACACCATTCCAACACAGAAAGGCTGCTTTTCATCATACTTAATTACCATTTTTTGGAAAGAAAAATATTTACTCATATTGAAAGTAATTATAGATCATATTTCATACAAATATGGAAAAACTGGGCAGTTACTTTAATTCATTAGTTCAGTAGTTAAATGACTGTTGTCACATCAACACATCAATAAGTCAACACACACTCACCCTCCTCTCGTTCCCGTCATCATCAACACATCAATAAGTCAACACACACTCACCCTCCTCTCGTTCCCGTCATCATCAACACATCAATAAGTCAACACACACTCACCCTCATCTCGTTCCCGTCATCATCAACACATCAATAAGTTAACACACACTCACCCTCCTCTCGTTCCCGTCATCATCAACACATCAATAAGTCAACACACACTCACCCTCCTCTCGTTCCCGTCATCATCAACACATCAATAAGTCAACACACACTCACCCTCCTCTCGTTCCCGTCATCATCGACACACACTCCAGGAGGACCAGCTGAAGAGGAATACACATCATCATCATCACAATCCCCTACCATCATCACTACCACCACCATCATCGCTACCACCATCATCATCATCATCACCATCATCACAATCCCCTACCATCATCACTACCATCATCACTACCATCATCATCATCACTTCCACCATCATCGTCATCATCATCATCATCACCATCATCATCATCACCATCATCACAACCCTCTCACCTTCATACATTTACATTTGAGTCATTTAGCAGACGCTCTTATCATCACCATCACCATCACAATCCCCCCACTTTCACCACCATCATCATCACCATCATCACCATAATCTTCATCACTACCATCATCACTACCATCATCACCATCATCACCATCATCACCATCATCTTCATCACTACCATCATCATCATCATCACCATCATCACCATCACCATCATCACCATCATCTTCATTAATGTCTTCATCATCACCATAATCACCATCATCGTCATCATCAGAATCTCTCCAGGTAGCTCTGGTCCAGTACTATACCTCTACAGAGTGTGTCTGTGTAGCTCTGGTCCAGTACTATACCTCTACAGAGTGTGTCTGTGTAGCTCTGGTCCAGTACTATACCTCTACAGAGTGTGTCTGTGTAGCTCTGGTCCAGTACTATACCTCTACAGAGTGTGTCTGTGTAGCTCTGGTCCAGTACTATACCTCTACAGAGTGTGTCTGTGTAGCTCTGGTCCAGTACTATACCTCTACAGAGTGTGTCTGTGTAGCTCTGGTCCAGTACTATACCTCTACAGAGTGTGTCTGTGTAGCTCTGGTCCAGTACTATACCTCTACAGAGTGTGTCTGTGTAGCTCTGGTCCAGTACTATACCTCTACAGAGTTTGTCTGTGTAGCTCTGGTCCAGTGTTAACAGCATCAGCAGCTCCTCCATGCTGTTAAGATGGAGTGTGTTGTCCTGGTCGCCATGGGAACCAAGCAGGCTCAGTTCAGCTCTGTTGTAACCGGGCCCGATGCCGATAGGGAAAACTGACACGCCTGTTGGCAGAGTAAAGACGTCATCACTAACCTGTGGTGGTTGTTATGATGTCATCACTAACCTGCAGTGCTCGATATGATGTCACCACTAACCTGCAGTCCTCCTTATGATGTCACCACTAACCTGCAGTCCTCTTTATGATGTCATCACTAACCTGCAGTCCTCTTTATGATGTCACCACTAACCTGCAGTCCTCTTTATGATGTCACCACTAACATGTGGTCCTCCTTATGTCACCACTAACCTCCTGCTCTCCTTATGATGTCACTACTAACTTATTATCCTCGTTATGTTGTCACCACTAACCTGCTGCCCTCCTTATAAAGTCACCACTAACATGTGGTCCTCCTTATGTTACCACTAACCTCTTGCCCTCCTTATGATGTCACCACTTACCTCTTGCCCTCGTTATGATGTCACCACTAACCTGTGGTCCTCCTTATGATGTCACCACTAACCTGCTGCCCTCCTTATGATGTCACCACTAACCTGCGGTCCTCCTGATGTCACCACTAACCTGCGGTCAGCGCCTCGTTAGTGGCCTCCTGCAGTTGGTCAGTTGACCTGTCAATCACCAGCATCACCACCACCTTGGCCACACCCACTCTGCCCCCACTAGATGGAGAGATGGATGTCTGGACAGCAAATCGCAATGCAGCACCTGATTCCAGAGAAAGGGTTAGGGTTAGGGTTAGGGTTAGGACTATTCTAGGCAATGCAGCACCTGATTCCAGAGAAAGAGAGACCCTCAGAATATACAGTGTGTGTGTGTTACCCAGCGTGGTGTGTGTGTGTGTTACCCAGCGTGGTGTGTGTGTGTGTTACCCAGCGTGGGTGTGTGTAGGTGTGTTACCCAGCGTGGTGTGTGTGTGTGTGTTACCCAGCGTGGTGGTGTGTGTGTGGTGTGTTACCCCAGCGTGGTGTGTGTGTGTTAACCCAGCTTGGTGTGTGTGTGTGTGTGTTACCCAGCGTGGTGTGTGTGTGTGTGTGTTACCCAGCGTGGTGTGTGTGTGTGTGTTACCCAGCGTGGTGTGTGTGTGTGTGTGTTACCCAGCGTGGTGTGTGTAGGTGTGTTACCCAGCGTGGTGTGGTGTGTGTGTTACCCAGCGTGGTGTGTGTGTGTGTGTTTACCCAGCGTGGTGTGTGTGTGTGTGTGTTACCCAGCGTGGTGTGTGTGTGTGTGTGTTACCCAGCGTGGTGTGTGTGTGTGTGTGTTACCCAGCGTGGTGTGTGTGTGTGTGTTACCCAGCGTGGTGGTGTGTGTGTGTTACCCAGCGTGGTGTGTGTGTGTGTGTTACCCAGCGTGGTGTGTGTGTGTGTGTTGTTACCCAGCGTGGGTGTGTGTGTGTGTGTTACCCAGCGTGGTGTGTGTGTGTGTGTTACCCAGCGTGGTGTGTGTGTAGGTGTGTTACCCAGCGGGGGTGTGTGTGTGTGTGTTACCCAGCGTGGTGTGTGTAGGTGTGTTACCCAGCGTGGTGTGTGTAGGTGTGTTACCCAGCGTGGTGTGTGTGTGTGTTACCCAGCGTGGTGTGTGTGTAGGTGTGTTACCCAGCGTGGTGTGTGTGTGTTACCCAGCGTGGTGTGTGTGTGTGTTACCCGTTGTGGTGTGTGTGTGTGTGTTACCCAGCGTGGTGTGGTGTGTGTGTTACCCAGCGTGGGTTGTTGTTTTGTGGTGTGTGTTACCCAGCGTGGTGTGTGTGTGTGGTGTTACCCAGCGTGGTGTGTGTGTGTGTGTTACCCAGCGTGGTGTGTGTGTGTGTGTTACCAGCGTGGTGTGTGTGTGTGTGTTACCCAGCGTGGTGTGTGTAGGTGTGTTACCCAGCGTGGTGTGTGTGTGTGTTACCCAGCGTGGTGTGTGTGTAGGTGTGTTACCCAGCGTGGTGTGTGTGTGTGTTACCCAGCGTGGTGTGTGTGTGTGTTACCCAGCGTGGTGGTGGTGTGTGTGTTGTTACCCAGCGTGGTGTGTGTGTGTGTTACCCAGCGTGGTGTGTGTGTGGTGTGTTACCAGCGTGGTGTGTGTGTGTGTGTGTTACCCAGCGTGGTGGTGTGTGTGTGTGTACCCAGCGTGGTGTGTGTGTGTGTGTTACCCAGCGTGGTGTGTGTGTGTGTGTTACCCAGCGTGGTGTGGGGTGGTGTGTGTTACCCAGCGTGGTGTGTGTGTGTGTTACCCAGCGTGGTGTGTGTGTGTGTTACCCAGCGTGGTGTGTGTGTGTTACCCAGCGTGGTGTGTTTTGGGGTGTGTGTGGTTACCCAGCGTGGTGTGTGTGTGTGTTACCCAGCGTGTGTGTGTGTGTGTGTGTTACCCAGCGTGTGTGTGTGTGTGTGTTACCCAGCGTGGTGTGTGTGTGTGTGTTACCCAGCGTGGTGTGTGTGTAGGTGTGTTACCCAGCGTGGTGTGTGTGTGTGTGTTACCCAGCGTGGTGTGTGTAGGTGTGTTACCCAGCGTGGTGTGTGTGTGTGTGTTACCCAGCGTGGTGTGTGTGTGTGTGTGTTACCCAGCGTGGTGTAAATGTACACTCCCTGGACTTGCTTCCTGTATCCCAGTGTCTGTCCTCACAAGTGCATTATCATGCTGAAACATGAGGTGATGGTTGCAGATGAATGGCACGACAATGGGCCTCAGGATCTAGTCACGGTATCTCTGTACATTCAAATTGCCATCGATAAAATGTGATTGTGTTTGTTGTCCGTAGCTTATGCCTGCCGATACCATAACCCCACCGCCACCAGGGGGCGCTCTGTTCACAACGTTAACATCAGCAAACCGCTCGCCCACATGATGCCATGCACGTGGTCTGCGGTTGTGAGGCCGGTTGGACGTACTACCAAATTCTCTAAAACAACATTGGAGGCGGCTTATGGTAGAGAAATGAACATTCAAATCTCTGGCAACAGCTCTGGTGGATATTCCTACAGTCAGCATGCCAATTGCAAGCTCCCTCAAAACTTGAGACATCTGTGGCATTGTGTTGTGTGACAACACTGCACATTTTGGATTATCTTGGCAAAGGAGAAATGCTCACTAACAGAGATGTAAACAAATGTGTGCACAACAGTTTAGAGAAATAAGCTTTTTGGGTGTATGGAATATTTCTGGGATCATTTATTTCAATTCATGAAACATGAGACCAACACTTTACATGTTGCGTTTATGTTTTTTTAAGTGTACTTATGCTAAAATGTTTATTCTGTTCTACTGAGTCATTTACTTTATGTTCCTATTCGTATATTGTAATGTTGTTGTTGTTGCATATTGTTGTTGTTGTTGCATATTGTTGTTGTTGTTGCATATTGTTGTTGTTGTTGCATATTGTTGTTGTTGTTGCATATTGTTGTTGTTGTTGCATATTGTTGTTGTTGTTGCATATTGTTGTTGTTGTTGCATATTGTTGTTGTTGTTGCATACTGTTGTTGTTGTTGCATATTGTTGTTGTTGTTGCATATTGTTGTTGTTGTTGCATATTTGTTGTTGTTGTTGCATATTGTTGTTGTTGTTGCATACTGTTGTTGTTGTTGCATATTGTTGTTGTTGTTGCATATTGTTGTTGTTGTTGCATATTGTTGTTGTTGTTGCATATTGTTGTTGTTGTTGCATTGTCCAGAAGGAGCCTGCATTTGGTTGGACGGTGTGGACCATGTGTATACTGTACACACGACTAATAGAAAACATACAACTTGAAACAGGAGAACAGGCCAACCAAGAAATGATTAGAAAGGAGAGGTTTGGAAGAGAAGGAGGATGGAGGGTAAATCCTACCTGGCAGGAAAAATATAATTTAGTTGACTATGGAAATTTATATCTGCACTGTTTAATTATTTATTACTTACATGATTCGTACCTGAATACCTACCTGAATGTTTAATTCCATGCTGAAATGTGTCTGATTTGCATACTAGTAACATGATTGATAGTGACATTTCGATATTGATTGTTGTTTGACAGTTGTATCAGTTTATTTTTAAGTAAAACTATTTGATTTAGTAAAGTAAAACTAAATTATTCTGATTATTCCAATGTCTTGAGTACCTTTTTTATGAAATTGTGCACATTGGTCGATATTAAGTCAACTTTGAATAAGACTCTAATTGAAACTGTACAGCCTACGAACTTTGTTTGATGTCAGTCTTCATTGGAGACTACCTATACAGGAGGACATCTGCAAGATGGTGCTGGCAGGCTTAAATAAGAAATGAATGTCAAATCAAATGCACTAAGTTGTTGTTCTTTTTGTTTGCTGTCACAGTTTCCCATCAGGTGTCTATATTACCCAGTGGTGTCTATATTACCCAGTGGTGTGTATATTACCCAGTGGTGTGTATATTACCCAGTGGTGTCTATATTACCCAGTGGTGTCTATATTACCCAGTGGTGTCTATGTTACCCAGTGGTGTCTATATTACCCAGTGGTGTGTATATTACCCAGTGGTGTCTATATTACCCAGTGGTGTCTATATTACCCAGTGGTGTGTGTATTACCCAGTGGTGTGTATATTACCCAGTGGTGTATATATTACCCAGTGGTGTCTATATTACCCAGTGGTGTGTATATTACCCAGTGGTGTCTATATTACCCAGTGGTGTGTATATTACCCAGTGGTGTGTATATTACCCAGTGGTGTGTATATTACCCAGTGGTGTCTATATTACCCAGTGGTGTCTATATTACCCAGTGGTGTGTATATTACCCAGTGGTGTGTATATTACCCAGTGGTGTATATATTACCCAGTGGTGTCTATATTACCAAGTGGTGTGTTTATTACCCAGTGGTGTCTATATTACCCAATGGTGTGTATATTACCCAGTGGTGTGTATATTACCCAGTGGTGTCTATATTACCCATTGGTGTGTATATTACCCAGTGGTGTCTATATTACCCAGTGGTGTGTATATTACCCAGTGGTGTATATATTACTCAGTGGTGTCTATATTACCCAGTGGTGTGTATATTACCCGGTGGTGTGTATATTACCCAGTGGTGTGTATATTACCCAGTGGTGTCTATATTACCCAGTGGTGTCTATATTACCCAGTGGTGTCTATATTACCCAGTGGTGTCTATATTACCCAGTGGTGTGTATATTACCCAGTGATGTGTATATTACCCAGTGGTGTGTATATTACCCAGTGGTGTGTATATTACCCAGTGGTGTGTATATTACCCAGTGTTGTCTATATTACCCAGTGGTGTCTATATTACCAAGTGGTGTGTTTATTACCCAGTGGTGTCTATATTACCCAGTGGTGTCTATATTACCCAGTGGTGTGTATATTACCCAGTGGTGTCTATATTACCCAGTGGTGTCTATATTAGCCAGTGGTGTGTATCTTACCCTGTGGTGTCTATATTACCCAGTGGTGTGTTTATTACCCAGTGGTGTGTATATTACCCAGTGGTGTCTATATTACCCAGTGGTGTGTATATTACCCAGTGGTGTGTATATTACCCAGTGGTGTGTATATTACCCAGTGGTGTCTATATTACCCAGTGGTGTGTATATTACCCAGTGGTGTGTATATTACCCAGTGGTGTCTATATTACCCAGTGGTGTCTATATTACCCAGTGGTGTCTATATTACCCAGTGGTGTGTGTATTACCCAGTGGTTTGTGTACTATCCAGTGGTGTGTGTGTGTGTGTGTTACCCAGCGCGGTGTGTGTGTGTGTCGGACTGGTCAGCTGGTCCACCAGGGTCAGCAGGTGTGTCCTGTCCTGCTCCTCTCTCCAGGCCACTCCCACTCTACTGGTCTCTCCGTACGTAACCACACACACCTGGGTCTCGTTCCGACCTGAAAACACATCCCCCGGGGAACTATGGTTAGCAGAATTATAGTTCCAGTCTCTTACAGACCACCGTTCTCTGCCTTCAGCAATGTGTTCTTTCACTTTGTGTTACTTTTTCATGTTTATGTTGTGTAGTTCAGTAAGAGTTGTGTTGTGATTGGATGGTTCAGTAAGAGCTGTGTTGTGATTGGATGGTTCAGTAAGAGCTGTGTTGTCATTGGGTGGTTCAGTAAGAGCTGTGTTGTGATTGGATGGTTCAGTAAGAGCTGTGTTGTCATTGGGTGGTTCAGTAAGATCAGTGTTGTGATTGGGTGGTTCAATAAGAGCTGTGTTGTGATTGGATGGTTCAGTAAGAGTTGTGTTGTGATTGGATGGTTCAGTAAGAGTTGTGTTGTGATTGGATGGTTCAGTAAGAGCTGTGTTGTGATTGGATGGTTCAGTAAGAGCTGTGTTGTCATTGGGTGGTTCAGTAAGAGCTGTGTTGTGATTGGATGGTTCAGTAAGAGCTGTGTTGTCATTGGGTGGTTCAGTGAGATCTGTGTTGTGATTGGGTGGTTCAGTGAGATCTGTGTTGTGATTCGATGGTTCAGTAAGAGTTGTGTTGTGATTGGGTGGTTCAGTAAGATCAGTGTTGTGATTGGGTGGTTCAATAAGAGCTGTGTTGTGATGATGGTCAGTAAGAGTTGTTTGATTGGATGGTTCAGTAAGAGTTAAGAGCTGTGTTGTGATTGGATGGTTCAATAAGATCAGTGTTGTGATTGGGTGGTTCAATAAGAGCTGTGTTGTGATTGGATGGTTCAGTAAGAGTTGTGTTGTGATTGGATGGTTCAGTAAGAGCTGTGTTGTGATTGGATGGTTCAGTAAGAGCTGTGTTGTGATTGGGTGGTTCAGTAAGAGTTGTGTTGTGATTGGGTGGTTCAGTAAGAGCTGTGTTGTGATTGGATGGTTCAGTAAGAGCTGTGTTGTGATTGGGTGGTTCAGTAAGAGTTGTGTTGTGATTGGCTGGTTCAGTGAGATCTGTGTTGTGATTGGATGGTTCAGTGAGATATGTGTTGTGATTGGGTGGTTTAGTGAGATCTGTATTGTGTTTGGGTGGTTCAGTGAGATCTGTGTTGTGATTGGGTGGTTCAGTAAGAGCTGTGTTGTGATTGGGGGGTTCAGTGAGATCTGTGCTCTGATTGGCCAGTAGTCGTACCGATATCAGCGCTGTTGACGAAGGCTTTGACAAACGTCTTCATGTCCTCAAATTCTGTATCGCCCTCCGACTGCCCGTCAGTCTCTGGCCCTGCCCTATTCCCGCCACTCAGCAGGAACAGGACATCCATCGGCTTCCTGCATGGAACTGGGTCAGAGGTCACAAGATATCAACCAATCACAGAGTAGTAGAGGAATTCCCCTGACCTTATCCAGATTCACAGATGTGGGTGTGGTATGTGGGTGTATCAAATCTAATCTAATTTTAGTTGTCACATGCGCCGAATACAACCTTACCGTGAAATGCTTACTTACAAAAGAGTTAAGACAAATATTTACTAAATAAACTAAAGTAACAAATACAAGAGCAAAAATAAAATAACAATAAGTAGGCTATATACTGGGGGTACCGGTACCGAGTCAATGTGCGGGGGTACAGGTTAATCCAGGTAATTGAGGTAATATATACATGTAGGTAGAGTTATTAAAGTGACTATGCATAGATAATAAACAGAGAGTAGCAGCAGTGTAAGGGGGAGGGGGGGTCAATGCAAATAGTCTGGGTAGCCATTTGATTAGCTATTCAGCAGTCTTAAGAAGTCTTTTGAACGTTGACTTGGCGCTCCGGTACCGCTTGATATAGAGGTCCTGGATGGCAGGAAGCTTGGCCCCAGTGATGTACTGGGCCGCACGCACTACCCTCTGTAGTGCCTTGCAGTCGGAGGCCGAGCAGTTGCCATACCAGGCGGTGATGCAACCAGTCAGGATGCTCTCGGTGGTGCAGCTGTATAACTTTTTGAGTATCTGAGGAACCATGCCAAATCTTTTCAGTCTCCTGAGGGGGAATAGGCATTTTCGTGCCCTCTTCACAACTGTCTTGGTGTGTTTGGACCATGATAGTTTGTTGGTGATGTGGACACCAAGGAACTTGAAGCTCTCAACCTGCTCCACTACAGCCCCATCAATGAGAATGGGGGCGCGCTTGGCCCTCCTTTTCCTGTAGTCCACGATCATCTCCTTTGTCTTGATCACATTGTGGGAGAGGTTGTTGTCCTGGCACCACACTGCCAGGTCTCTGACCTCCACCCTATAGGCTGTCTCATCGTTGTCAGTGATCAGGCCTACCAACGTTGTGTCGTCGGCAAAGTTAATGATGGTGTTGGAGTCGTGCTTGGCCACGCAGTCATGGGTGAACAGGGAGTACAGGAGGGGACTAAGCACGCACCCCTGAGGGGCCCCCGTGTTGATGAGTGTGGCAGATGTGTTGTTGCCTACCCTTACCACCTGGGGGCAGCCCATCAGGAATTCCAGGATCCAGTTGTAGAGAGAGGTGTTTAGTCTCAGGGTCCTTAGCTTAGTGATGAGCTTTGAGGGAACTATGGTGTTGAATGCTGATCAGTAGTCAATGAACAGCATTCTCATGTAGGTGTTCCTTTTGTCCAGGTGGGAAAGGGCAGTGTTGAGTGCAATAGAGATTGCGTCATCTATGGATCTGTTGGGGCGGTATGCAAATTGGAGTGGGTCTAGGGTGTCTTGGATGATGGTGTTGATGTGAGCCATGACCAGCCTTTCAAAGCACTCCATGGCTACAGACGTGGGTGCTACAGGTCGGTTGTCATTTAGGCAGCTTACGTTGGTGTTCTTGGTCACAGGGACTATGGTGGTCTGCTTGAAACATGTAGGTATTACTGACTCGGCCAGGGACAGGTTGAAAATGTCAGTGAAGGCACTTGCCAGTTGGGAAGGTCAGCGCATGCTCTGAGTACACATCCTGGTAATCCGTCTGGCCCTGTGGTCTTGTGAATGTTAACCTATTTCAAGGTCTTACTCACATTGGCTACGGAGAGCGTGATCACACAGTCGTCTGGAACAGCTGGTATTCTCATGCATGGTTCAGTGTTGCTTGCCTGGAAGCAAGCATAAAAGGCATTTAGCTCATCTGGTAGGCTCGCGTCACTGGGCAGCTCGCCGCTGGGTTTCCCTTTGTAATCCGTGAAAGATTGTAAACCCTGCCACATCCGACGAGCGTCAGAGCCGGTGTAGTAGGATTCAATATAAGTCCTGTATTTATGCTTTGCCTGTTTGATGGTTCGTCGGAAGGCGTACTGGGATTTCTTATAAGTGTCCGGATTAGTGTCCCGTTCCTTGAAAACAGCAGCTCTAGCATTTAGCTCAGTGCAGATGTTGTCTGTAATCCATGACTTCTGGTTGGGATATGTAAGTACGGTTACTGTGGGGACAACGTCGTCGGTGCACTTATTAATGAAGCCGGTGACTGATGTGATAAACCCCTCGATGTTATCAGATGAATCCTGAATCATATTCCAGTCTGTGCTAGCGAAACAGCCCTGTAGATGATTAGATTAGATGAGTTGATCATTCACATGCACAGGCTACAGTGAAATGTTGAAGCTCCGAGCTCCAATAGTCAAAAAGAGAAGTGAAAGAAACAATAATAACACTAACAATAATAATATACATATTTACAACAGTGACAATGATAAATGTCCATTGGGGGGTGGGGCCAGGAGGAGGTAGCTGAGTAGTGGTGGCTGTTCAGCAGCCTGATTGGCCAGTTTCTGCCATGATGCTCCTATTACTGCCCACGTCTGACTGGTGGAAGCAGGGAGAACAGGCCATGGCTCAGATGGCTAAGGTCCCTGATGACCTTCTTGTCTTTCCTGCTACACCTGGTGTTGTAGGTTTCCTGGAGGGCAGTCAGTGTGCAACCAATGGTATGTTGGGCTGAGCGTACCACCCTCTATAGAGCCTTGCGGTCATCGGAGGTGGAGTTGCCGTACCCGGCTGTGATGCAGCCCGACAGTAGGCTCTCGATGGTGCTCCTGTAGAACACTGAGGGCCCTCTGGGACAGGCCAAATTTCTTCAGCATACTGAGGTTGAAGAGTTGCTGTCGTGCCTTCTACACCACAGTGTCCATGTAGTGTGGTTTGACCATTTCAGCTCTTCTGAGATGTGAACGCCTCAGAGACATGTAGTTTAGCATCCGCTTAATCGGACCATCTTCCGTATTGAGCACGTCACTGGTACTTCCTGTTTGCGTTTTTACTTGTAAGCAGCAATCAGGAGGATAGAGTTATGGTCAAATTTGCCAAATGGAGGGCGAGGGAGAGCTTTGAATGCATCTCTGTGTGTGGAGTATAGGTGATCTAGAGTTTTGTTGCCTCTAGTTGCACAGATGACATGCTGGTAGAAATGAGGTAAGAACTGCTGCCTCTGGATGAGCATTTTCTTGTTAGCTTATGGCTCTATACAGCTCTATGAGTGGGGTTTTTGTGCCAGCATCGGTTTGTGGTGGTAAATAGACATGAAAACTCTCTTGGTAAATAGAGTTGTTAACAAACAGACACACCCCTCCTTTCTCATCTTACCCTGCCGTCCGGTCTTGACGATGGAAAAGCCAACGTGGTGTTTATTATCCATGTCCTTGTTCAGCCACGGCTCCCAGAAACATAGAATATTAATTGTTCAGGTTGATAGGATATTCTGGAACGAAGCTCGTCCAGTTGGTTTTCATTTGCTAATAGAACAGAGGGCTAATAGGAGGGCCTATCAGTGGTCACTTCCTGGCGGTCTAGATGCATGCTGACATAGTTAGCCTCTTTTTGGCCACCATTTCTTATTTAGAGTCCCGGGATCAGGGCCTGGCCCAGGGTAAGCATAACGCCCAGAGCTGCCGACTCGTTGAAGTAGAATTGTTCATCCAAATCAAGGTTAGCGATTGCTGCTCTGATGTCCAGAAACTATTTTCGGTCATAGGAAGTAATGGTGGAAATATTATGGTAAAAACAAAGTTAAGCTCAGCGTAAGAAAACACACAAAATACAGAACTGGTCAGGAGCCCATAAGACTGCAGCGCCATCTCAACAAAGTCTGTGTTTACGTGTGTGTGTTTCTGTGTGTGTGTGTGTGTGTGTGTGAGTGTGTGTGTTTTACCTGAAGGAGGCAGGGTGGCTCTGGGGGCCAGTGTTGGGGTGAGTCGTGGGGGAGGCAGGGTGGGGGAGCGAGGAGAGAGGGTGTTTCTGGTGATATTAACCACAGTGGTAACCAGAGAGGTAAGGCTGGTATAGTCCTCCACCATGAGGGGGCGTTGTGGGGAGCTGAGAGGCATCAGGTCCACCTCTCTAACCTTCGGCCCTACCCCGATGGGATACACCCGGGTGTGTGTGTGGGAGGAGGGGGGGCGCATGATCACGTCGGTGGGGGGGTTCTCTGTCACCAGGAAGACTAGCTGGGGGGAGGTGGGGGTGGAGGAGGGCCTATCAGTGGTCACTTCCTGGTAGGTCTGGCCAATTGCAGCACCCGTGTTTGTCTTGGCCCCGCCCCTCCAGCGGATCTCCCGTAGTCTCCTTAGCAACTGGTTTCTCTGCCACCGTATTTCCCAGCGCGTTATCTCCACGGTGACCGTTACAGAGTATTGTATGACTGTAACGCGCACTGACTCCTCCCCTTCGTCTGCCAGCTGTGATATCACTTCCTCCAGAAAGAGGAGAGAGGCGTTAAATCCCGCCTCCCCAACCGAGTCAGAGCCTTCCAGGATAAATGTCACGTCTTTAGAGGGAGGAGAGGAAGAGGGGAAGGTAGAGGAAGAGGTGGAGGAGGAGAGAGAGGAAGGTGAGGGATAAGTAGTTGTGGGGGTCAGGCCATCATGCTGTATGGGGTTGGGGAGGTGTTGGGACGGGGTGGAGGTCAGGGAGGGGATGGGCTCCAGCAGGGGAGGCTGTGTGGTGGTGGTGGTACCCAGGCTAGCTATGCTGGGCTTGGCGGGCAGGGGCTTGGGGGTCTCCGGCTCCAGCCCCAGGGTACAGAGGTAGTCAGTGACCTCCATGAAGTTGTCCGGCAGCTCAGACACGCTGTTCAGCTGGTAGGCCCTGTTATCAGGCTTGGCCTTGGTGATGTCATTAACTTGCGTCCAGCTTGCCTCCGGCCCCAGCGCCAGCGTAAGGGTGGTAATGTCTTTCTTCCGAAGCAGCTTGACGGTGGTGCGGAGCGGCCGGGGGTTGGCGCTGGCAGTGAGGATGATAGCGACGCGGCCGGCATGTTCTCTCTTGTTCTTGTCGTAGATGTTGATGGCCAGATACTTCACCGCTTCGTCTAGAAACGCAGCGTCACCACCACTGTAGTGCAGCTCACGCACTGTCTTCTTAAACAACCACTTCTGAACCTAGAGGTTAGAGGTCAGAGGTTAGGAGTGAAGTCAATGTCATATGAGGAATATTGCTAATAACAGATTACTAACTCTCTCAGTTAGAAGATGTGTGTGTGTGTGTGCGTGTGTGTGCATGTGTGTGCATGTGTGTGCATGCCTCGCCCTCCATTTGGCAATCTGACCATAACTCTATCCTCCTGATTCCTGCTTATAAGCAAAAACCAAAGCAGGAAGCACCAGTGACTCGGTTAATAAAAAAGTGGTCAGATGATGCAGATGCTAAGCTACAGGACTGTTTTGCTAGCACAGACTGGAAAAAAATTCCGGGATTCTTCAGACAGCATTGAGGAGTACACCACATCAGTCACTGGCTTCATCAATAAGTGCATCGATGATGTCGTCCCCACAGTGACCGTACGTACATACCCCAACAAGAAGCCATGGATTACAGGAAACATCCGCACTGAGCTAAAGGGTAGAGCTGCCGCTTTCAAGGAACGGGACTCTAACCCGGACGCTTATAAGAAATCCCGCTATGACCTCCGACGAACCATCAAACAGGCAAAGAGTCAATACAGGTCTAAGATTGAATCGTACTACACTGGCTCTGACGCTCGTCGGATGTGGCAGGGCTTGAAAACTATTACAGACTACAAAGGGAAGCACAGCCGCGAGCTGCCCAGTGACACAAGCCTACCAGACGAGCTAAACCACTTCTATGCTCGCTTCGAGGCAAGCAACACTGAAGCATGCATGAGAGCACCAGCTGTTCCGGATGACTATGTGATCACGCTCTCCGTAGCCGATGTGAGTAAGACTTTTAAGCAGGTCAACATTCACAAGGCCGCAGGGCCAGACGGATTACCAGGACGTGTACTCCGAGCATGTGCTGACCAACTGGCAAGTGTCTTCACTGACATTTTCAACATGTCCCTGACTGAGTCTGTAATACCAACATGTTTCAAGCAGACCACCATAGTCCCCGTGCCCAAGGACTCTAAGATAACCTGCCTAAATGACTACCGACCCGTAGCACTGACGTCTGTAGCCATGAAGTGCTTTGAAAGGCTGGTCATGGCTCACATCAACAGCATTATCCCAGAAACCCTAGACCCACTCCAATTTGCATACCTCCCCAACAGATCCACAGATGATGCAATCTCTATTGCACTCCACACTGCCCTTTCCCACCTGGACAAGAGGAACACCTACGTGAGAATGCTATTCATTGACTACAGCTCAGCATTCAACACCATAGTGCCCTCTAAGCTCATCACTAAGCTAAGGATCCTGGGACTAAACACCTCCCTCTGCAACTGGATCCTGGACTTCCTGACGGGCCACCCCCAGGTGGTAAGGGTAGGTAACAACACATCTGCCACACTGATCCTCAACACGGGGGCCCCTCAGGGGTGCGTGCTCAGTCCCCTCCTGTACTCTCTGTTCACCCATGACTGCATGGCCAGGCACGACTCCAACACCATCATTACGTTTGCCGACGACACAACAGTGGTAGGCCTGATCACCGACAACGATGAGACAGCCTATAGGGAGGTCAGAGATCTGGCCGTGTGGTGCCAGGACAACAACCTCTCCCTCAACGTGACCAAGACAAAGGAGATGATTGTGGACTACAGGGAAAAAAAGAGGACTGAGCACGCCCCCATTCTCATCGACGGGGCTGTAGTGGAACAGGTTGAGAGCTTCAAGTTCTTTGGTGTCCACATCACCAACGAACTATCATGGTCCAAACACACCAAGACAGTCGTGAAGAGGGCACGACAAAGCCTATTCTCCCTCAGGAGACTAAAAAGATTTGGCATGGGGTCCTCAGATCCTCAAAAAATTCTACAGCTGCACCATCGAGAGCATCCTGACTGGTTGCATCACCGCCTGGTATGCAACCATACCTCATGTCTCTACCAACTCAGCTACAGGAGGCATACCTCATGTCTCTACCAACTCAGCTACAGGAGGCATACCTCATGTCTCTACCAACTGATATAGATATAGGGTTAGGGTTAGGGTTAGGGTGATGGGATGAGAGCTAATAGATATAGAGAGCTAGAGCTAGGGTTAGGGTTAGGGTTAGGTTAGGGTTAGGGTTAGGGTTAGGGTTAGGGTTAGGTTACATAAAGAGAGACACCACAACACTACATAAAGAGAGACACCACAACACTACATAAAGAGACACCACAACACTACATAAAGAGAGACACCACAACACTACATAAAGAGAGACACCACAACACTACATAAAGAGAGACACCACAACACTACATAAAGAGAGACGCCACAACACTACATAAAGAGAGACGCCACAACACTACATAAAGAGAGACACCACAACACTACATAAAGAGAGATACCACAACACTACATAAAGAGAGACACCACAACACTACATAAAGAGAGACGCCACAACACTACATAAAGAGAGACCTAAGACAACCACATAGCATGGCAGCAACACATGACAACACAGAATGGTAGCAACACAACATGTCAACAACATGGTAGCAACACAACACGGCAGCAGCAGAACATGGTAGCAGCACAAAACATGGTACAAACATTATTGGGCTCAGACAACAGCAGAAAGGGCAAGAAGGTAGAGACAACAATACATCACACCAAGCAGCCACAACTGTCAGTAAGAGTGTCCATGATTGAGTCTTTGAATGAAGAGATGGAGATAAAACTGTCCTGTTTGAGTGTTTTTTGCAGCTCGTTCCAGTCGCTAGCTGCAGCGAACTGAAAAGAGGAGCGACCCAGGGATGTGTGTTTTTTGGGGACCTTTAACAGAATGTGACTCTGTCTGCTAGGGCTGGGGCTAGGGCTGGGGCTAGGGCTGGAGCTGGAGCTGGGGCTAGGGCTGGGGCTAGGGCTAGGGCTAGGGCTGGGGCTGGGGCTAGTCTAGGGCTGGGGCTGGGGCTGGGGCTGGGGCTAGGGCTAGGGCTGGGGTTGGGGTTGGGGTTGGGGCTAGGGCTGGGGGGCTGGGGCTAGGATAGGGATAGGGCTGGGGCTAGGGCTAGGGCTAGGGCTGGGGCTAGGGCTGGGGTTGGGGTTGGGGTTGGGGCTAGGGGGGCTGGGGCTAGGGCTGGGGCTGGGCTGGGCTGGGGATAGGGATAGGGCTGGGGTTGGGGGGCTGGGGCTGGGGCTGGGGCTGGGGCTAGGGCTGGGGGCTAGGGCTGGGGCTGGGGGGCTAGGGCTGGGGCTAGGGCTAGGGCTGGGGCTAGGGCTAGGGCTGGGGCTAGGGCTGGGGCTAGGGCTAGGGCTGGGGCTAGGGCTAGGGCTAGGGCTAGGGCTAGGGCTGGGGCTAGGGCTGGGGCTGGGCTGGGGCTGGGGCTGGGGCTAGGGCTAGGGCTAGGGATAGGGCTGGGGCTGGGGCTGGGGCTGGGGCTAGGGCTGGGGCTAGGGCTGGGGCTAGGGCTAGGGCTAGGGCTAGGGCTAGGGCTAGGGCTAGGGCTGGGGCTAGGGCTGGGGCTGGGGCTAGGGCTAGGGCTAGGGCTAGGGCTAGGGCTAGGGCTAGGGCTAGGGCTGGGGCTAGGGCTAGGGCTGGGGTTGGGGTTGGGCTAGGCTAAGGGTTAGGCTTGGCCTGCAGGCTATAAAGGGTGGCAACATCAGCCAACACTCTCTCTCTTCCCTGACTGGCAGGTTGGCTTCCTCCACCTTTTGGTTGTTGGTCTGTTTTCACCATACAACACCCTCTCCACTCATCCACACACTGCAGACACTACTGATCCTACAGACGTCCACAGCTTATGTTACATTTTTGCATTTATTATTATTTAGTTTAGTTTAATTCCTTTTTACATTTAAGTCATGCGTGGTCTCCCTTTGTTGCTACGAACTATGAGCCAGGTCGTAACAAGAATGTGACTGGCAGAACGGGTGTTGTATGTGGAGGATGAGGGCTGCAGTAGGTATCTCAGATAGGGGGGAGTGAGGCCTAAGATGGTTTTAGAAATAAGCATCAACCAGTGGGTCTTGTGTTGGGTATACAGATGACCAGTTTACAGAGGAGCATAGAGGAGCATTGGTGGCAAATCTATTGGCCAAATGGTAAAGAACATCTAGCCGCTCGAGAGCACCCTTACCTGCCAATCTCCGTAATCTAGCATGGTAGGATGGTCATCTGAATCAGGGTTAGTTTGGCAGCTGGGGTGAAAGAGGAGCGATTACGATAGAGGAAACCAAGTCTAGATTGAACCTTAGCCTGCAGCTTTGATATGTGCTGAGAGAAGGACAGTGGACCGTCTGGCCGTACTCCCAAGGACTTGTATGAGGTGACTACCTCAAGCTCTAAACCCTCAGAGGTAGTAATCACACCGGCGGGGAGAGGGGCATTCTTCTTATCAAACCACATTACCTTTGTTTTGGAGGTGTTCAGAACAAGGTTAAGGGCAGAGAAAGATTTTTGAACACTAATAAAGCTTTGTTGTATAGCGTTCAACACAAAATCCGGGGAGGGGCCAGCTGAGTATGACTGTACAATCTCAAAGAGTGCAGTGACTGAGCTATGTTGATGTAAATAGAGAAGAGCGTGGGGCCTAGGGTGGAGCCTTGGGGTACTCCCTTGGTGACAGGCAGTGGCTGAGACAGCAGATGTTCTGACTTTATACACTGCACTCTTTGAGAGAGGTAGTTAGCAAACCAGGCCAAAGACCCCTCAGAGACACCAATACTCCTTAGCCGGCCCACAAGAATGGAATGGTCTACCGTATCAAAAGCTTTGGCCAAGTCAATAAAAAAAGCTGCACAACATTGCTTAGAATCAAGGGCAATGATGACATCATTTATTACCTTTAAGGTTGCAGTGACACATCCATAACCTGAGCGGAAACCAGATTGCATACCAGAGAGAATACTATAGACATCAAGAAAGCCAGTTAGCTAAATATTGACAAGTTTTTCCAACACTTTTGATAAACAGGGCAAAATAGAAATTGGCCTATAACAGTTAGGATCAGCTTGATCTCCTCCTTTAAATAAAGGACGCACCGTGGCTGCCTTCCAAGCAATGGGAACCTCCCCAGAGAGGAGAGACAGGTTAAAAAGGTCAGAGACAGGCTTGGTGATGATGAGGGGCTGCAACCTTAAAGAAGAAAGGATCCAAACCATCTGACCCAGATGTGTTTTGGGGTCAAGTTTAAGGAGCTCCTTTAGCACCTCAGACTCAGTGACTGCCTGAAAGCTAGTCGCATTAGAAGGACTGGGAGATGAGAAAATGTTGGACGGGCAAGGAGGCATGAATGAGTCAAATAGGAATCCTGACTTAATGAAGTGGTGATTAAAGAGCTCAGCCATATGCTCCTTGTCAGTAACAACCACATCATCAACATTAAGGGACATGGGCAGCTGTGAGGAAGAGGGTTTATTCTCCAGGTCTTTAACCGTTTTCCAGAACTTCTTGGGGTTAGACCCACAGAGAGAGAACTGCTCCTTAAAGGAACCAGCTTTAGCCTTCCAGATAGCCTGAGTGGACTTAATTATCATTAAGTAAATTAAATAAATAAGACAAAAATATATATATATCCCATTCCGTATGCGCAGTTGTGCCTCCCAAATAACAATTATTAGTTATAGACAAATAGACTAACTATGCATGCTTCTCTATCTATCTATCTATCTATCTATCTATCTATCTATCTATCTATCTATCTATCTATCTATCTATCTATCTATCTATCTATCTATCTATCTATCTATCTATCTATCTATCTATCTATCTATCTATCTATCTATCTATCTATCTATCTATCTCTGTCTCTGTCGCTCTGTCTGTCTGTCTGTCTGTCTGTCTGTCCATGCAGTTAGACAAGCAAACAAATAATTGGCTCTGTAATTTTATCTGAATAAATTATAACACACATTTTATGTGGGGTAAAATGACAAGTAGCCAACTTTTCCTGAGATACTATAGCAGTCAGTCTCTACTATAGTAGTCAGTCTCTACTATAGCAGTCAGTCTCTACTATAGCAGTCAGTCTCTACTATAGCAGTCAGTCTCTACTATAGTAGTCAGTCTCTACTATAGCAGTCAGTCTCTACTATAGCAGTCAGTCTCTACTATAGCAGTCAGTCTCTACTATAGCAGTCAGTCTCTACTATAGTAGTCAGTCTCTACTATAGCAGTCAGTCTCTACTATAGCAGTCAGTCTCTACTATAGCAGTCAGTCTCTACTATAGCAGTCAGTCTCTACTATAGTAGTCAGTCTCTACTATAGTAGTCAGTCTCTACTATAGCAGTCAGTCTCTACTATAGCAGTCAGTCTCTACTATAGCAGTCAGTCTCTACATATAGCAGTCAGTCTCTACTATAGCAGTCAGTCTCTACTATAGCAGTCAGTCTCTACTATAGCAGTCAGTCTCTACTATAGTCAGTCTCTACTATAGTAGTCAGTCTCTACTATAGTCAGTCTCTACTATAGCAGTCTCTACTATAGCAGTCAGTCTCTACTATAGCAGTCAGTCTCTACTATAGCAGTCAGTCTCTACTATAGTAGTCAGTCTCTACTATAGCAGTCAGTCTCTACTATAGCAGTCAGTCTCTACTATAGCAGTCAGTCTCTACTATAGCAGTCAGTCTCTACTATAGCAGTCAGTCTACTATAGTAGTCAGTACTCAGTCAGTAGGGTTAGTGGCTGTGTGTGCTTCTGCGTACCATTTTAGCAAAAACAAATGAAAGCAGGCTGATTTTGTCTGACAATCATTTAAGAGAATAAAATGTTAATGTCTGAAATTTTAGTTGGTTATGAACTAAACTCTTCCAATTTAATTTCGGGTCTGTCGGGTCTGTCTGGTCAGAGATCCGAGTCCACCAAACGGGACCCGACCCAGATCTGAGGGTCAACTACAGAATGTAAACCCGACCCGGCTCCTACCCTGACCCGTGAAGAGCTCTAGTACCTGCATGTCGTAGGTCTTGACTCCAGAGTGATACAGCAGGACCGTAGCCCTGGTGTGGGCCGAGCCCATCCTAAACCTGTCCACCACTGATAGGATGAACTGTTTGACGGACAGGAAGTCCTCCTCGCTGAGCGCTGCCGAGCCATCCAATAGGAAGGCCAGGTCCATGGCCCGGTCACATGACTCCTCCGGCATCACCGTGGAGACGGGCAGGGTGGTGGGTGTGGTCAGACCAGCAGGAGGAGTGGTCGAAGTGACGGTGTCCAGAAGAGCACAAACCTCACAGCTCAGAGTGTTGTTCTCACAGTGGCTGGAACAAACACACATAATTAGATTGATAGTTCCAGACATTATTCCAGACATATCAAGTGTCTGTGGTGTGTGTTACCATATCTGACAGTGCTGGGGGTCGTCATGGTTCAGGATGACCTTCTTGCCGTGGGAGATCCTCTCTCCGTTATGGTAACATATGTGGCATTGGGCAGGTTCAACACACTGCATGGAAACCTCATCCAATAGCTGACCTACATGGCAGAGGGGGAGGGGTTACTGCTGCCTGCACTGTGTGTGTGTGTGTGTGTGTGTGTGTGTGTGTGTGTGTGTGTGTGTGTGTGTGTGTGTGTGTGTGTGTGTGTGTGTGTGTGTGTGTGTGTGTGTGTGTGTGTGTGTGAATGTGTGTGTGTGTTTGTGTGTGTGTGTGTGTGTTTATGTATGAGGGGTGATATGGGGACTAAATGAACTAACCTAGCTACTGATACATTTCACCTAGTCACCTAATATGGAACTGAGCGCATTAAAAAACTGTCTTGAATTAAAATGGACTGTCAATGGAGACACGATTAGTTCTTAGGCGTTCATATTCACGGGTTCACACATGCTTTTACATATACGTTGACACACATTGTAGGATTTCTAATGAATTTATTTGCAAATTATGGTGGAAAATAAGTATTTGGTCAATAACAAAAGTTTCTCAATACTTTGTTATATACCCTTTGTTGGCAATGACACAGGTCAAACGTTTTCTGTAAGTCTTCACAAGGTTTTCACACACTGTTGCTGGTATTTTGGCCCATTCCTCCATGCAGATCTCCTCTAGAGCAGTGATGTTTTGGGGCTGTCGCTGGGCAACACAGACTTTCAACTCCCTCCAAAGATTTTCTATGTGGTTGAGATCTGGAGACTGGCTAGGCCATTCCAGGACCTTGAAATGCTTCTTACGAAGCCACTCCTTCGTTGCCCGGGTGGTGTGTTTGGGATCATTGTCATGCTGAAAGACCCAGCCACGTTTCATCTTCAATGCCCTTGCTGATGGAAGGAGGTTTTCACTCAAAATCTCACGATACATGGCCCCATTCATTCTTTCCTTTACACGGATCAGTCGTTCTGGTCCCTTTGCAGAAAAACAGCCCCAAAGCATGATGTTTCCACCCCCATGCTTCACAGTAGGTATGGTGTTCTTTGGATGCAACTCAGCATTCTTTGTCCTCCAAACACGACGAGTTGAGTTTTTACCAAAAAGTTATATTTTGGTTTCATCTGACCATATGACAATCTCCCAATCCTCTTCTGGATCATCCAATTGTACTCTAGCAAACTTCAGACGGGCCTGGACATGTACTGGCTTAAGCAGGGGGACACGTCTGGCACTGCAGGATTTGAGTCCCTGGCGGCGTAGTGTGTTACTGATGGTAGGCTTTGTTACTTTGGTCCCAGCTCTCTGCAGGTCATTCACTAGGTCCCCCCGTGTGGTTCTGGGATTTTTGTGATCATTTTGACCCCACGGGGTGAGATCTTGTGTGCAGCCCCAGATCGAGGGAGATTATCAGTGGTCTTGTATGTCTTCCATTTCCTAATAATTGCTCCCACAGTTGATTTCTTCAAACCAAGCTGCTTACCTATTGCAGATTCAGTCTTCACAGCCTGGTGCAGGTCTACAATTTTGTTTCTGGTGTCCTTTGACAGCTCTTTGGTCTTGGCCATAGTGGAGTTTGGAGTGTGACTGTGTGAGGTTGTGGACAGGTGTCTTTTACACTGATAACAAGTTCAAACAGGTGCCATTAATACAGGTAACGAGTGGAGGACAGAGGAGCCTCTTAAAGAAGAAGTTACAGGTCTGTGAGAGCCAGAAATCTTGCTTGTTTGTAGGTGACCAAATACTTATTTTCCACCACAATTTGCAAATAAATTCATTAAAAATCCTACAATGTGATTTTCTGGATTTTTTTTCCTCAATTTGTCTGTCATAGTTGACGTGTACCTATGATGAAAATTACAGGCCTCTCTCATCTTTTTAAGTTTACTGAAATTACTGTCTCTGGTAAACACACACTATATCAAATAAAATCTAAGTTTGTCACAGGATACAGAAGGTGTAAACGGTACAGTGAAATGGTACCTTGCATAGTGGAGATTTTTGTTTAGACATGTAGCTAACTAGCTAGCTAAACAATGAACCATAATCCGGGAAGGACTGCCTGTTCCATGATTACATTTTACATTTTAGTCATTTAGCAGACGCTCTTATCCAGAGCGACTTACAGTTACTGAATACATATTTTTTTATACTGCCCCCCTGTGGGAATCGAACCCACAACCCTGGCGTTGCAAACGCCATGCTCTATCAACTGAGCTACATCCCTGCCGGCCATTCCCTCCCCTACCCTGGACGACGCTGGGCCAATTGTGCGCCGCCCATGATCTCGCCATCACGGTTGACAACTCCGTTGTGTCCTCCTCCCAGAGTGCGAAGAGCCTTGGCGTGACCATGGACAACACCCTGTCGTTCTCCGCTAACATCGAGGCGGTGACCCGATCCTGTAGGTTCATGCTCTACAACATTCGGAGAGTACGACCCTGCCTTACACAGGAAGCGGCACAGGTCCTAATCCAGGCACTTGTCATCTCCCGTCTGGATTACTGCAACTCGATGTTGGCTGGGCTCCCTGCCTGTGCCATTAAACCCCTACAACTCATCCAGAATGCCGCAGCCCGTCTGGTGTTCAACCTTCCCAAGTTCTCTCACGTCACCCCGCTCCTCCGCACACTCCACTGGCTTCCAGTTGAAGCTCGCATCTGCTACAAGACCATGGTGCTTGCCTACGGAGCTGTGAGGGGAACGGCACCTCCGTACCTTCAGGCTCTGATCAGTCCCTACACCCAAACGAGGGCATTGCGTTCATCCACCTCTGGCCTGCTGGCTCCCCTACCTCTGCGGAAGCATAGTTCCCGCTCAGCCCAGTCAAAACTGTTCGCTGCTCTGGCACCCCAATGGTGGAACAAGCTCCCTCACGACGCCAGGACAGCGGAGTCACTCACCACCTTCCGGAGACATTTGAAACCCCACCTCTTTAAGGAATACCTGGGATAGGATAAAGTAATCCTTCTACCCCCCCCGTTACCCCAACCCACCCCCCCCCCCCAAAAAAAACAACAACATTTAAATATAAAAAATAAAAATAAAATAAACATTGTAAAGTGGTTATCCCACTGTCTATAAGGTGAATGCACCTATTTGTAAGTCGCTCTGGATAAGAGCGTCTGCTAAATGACGTAAATGTAAATGTAATCCCAACTCATAACGTTACTATCCTGCATGAATCTGCAGGTAGCTAACCAACTAGATTCAATGTTAGCTAGCTAGCTAACCTTAGGCTATAACTAGCAATGCAAATGGCCCTGAGATATGAATAATATTACTACACAGATCATACACATAACATTAGCTAGAGAGTCAGCCAGCTAACGTTAGCTAGCTTGCTAACAGTATGCTTTAACTTGTAAATGACTCCGCTGTCCTGTCTCCTGAGTGGCGCAGTGGTCTAAGGCACTGCATCGCAGTGCTAACTGTGCCACTAGAGATCCTGGTTCGAATCCAGACTCATGGGCGGCGCACAATTGGCCCAGCATCGTCCAGGGTAGGGGAGGGAATGGCTGGCAGGGATGTAGCTCAGTTGATAGAGCATGGTGTTTGCAACGCCAGGGTTGTGGGTTCGATTCCCACGGGGGGCCAGTATAAAAAAAATATATATATATATTCACTAACTGTAAGTCGCTCTGGATAAGAGCGTCTGCTAAATGACTAAAAAAAAAAAAAACATTTTAATATAAGAAAACATTTAAAATACAAAATAAAACTTGAAATGAAAACGACTTTCTGACGAAATTAGAAATGTGTAATATCTGAAAATGTAGCTAACTAGACTGTCTTACCCTTATACATGGATGGATGCTTCTCCCTCTCTGTCACGGATGCCATGGTTTCCCTTAGTTTGAAGATGTAATCTGGAGACAGGTGTTTTATACAACAGCCTTCTGTGTGTACTTTTTTCGACTCCCTCCGCATACTTGCAATTAAATGCCATAATTTTCTCCATCTCCTTAGCTATCATACTTTGCTTCTACCAGGCATTCCACTGATTTCAAAAATCTGTCCTCCAGAAAGGAGATAGCAACACTTTTGCAGTTATTCGTAATGTCTTTAAAAATAGCTGTGTTAGAAAGGATTACCTACACATGCTGAGCAGCCCTTTGTTATACACAGAAGCATGTTACATGGCAGACCAATCCAAACTCATCTTACGGCATGTCCAGCCCATCCATTATCTCAGCCAATCAATGCTAGTGGGAAGTTTCCTGTCTTTTTCCGTGGCTAAACCAATCACTCGTAATTTAACAATTTTATTCAGATTTACAGATGGCATACACGTTTGTTATTAAGGCACATGAAAGTTCACTTGTTCCAGAAGGCATTTCTGCCAAAAAAATAAAATTTTAATAAAACAAATCATGTTTATGTTCAAATCCCTCTCCTGTGAAGTAGTGACGCACAAGAATCGCCTAGTTTCCTGAAACGAGTCACATATTATGCATTTATGTGTCTGAGTGTTGCTATGCATTGTGCAATAACTAGCTACAAAATAGGTTATTAAATATGTTATATGGTTTTCCCTTCCTGATATCTTGCCTTGCATTTTATGACAATGACGACAATAAAAAATTGTACTGACCCATCTTATCATATAACTTTATTAAATTCCAGTGTACAGAAGTTAGTACCATGGTCCCGGTGAAAGTCGACGGACTAGACACCGAAGCTCTGTTGGACTCTGGGAGTGTACTTACACTCGTAGCCACGAGCCTGCTTTCCCAGTGGAACGAAAGTGGCGGGGAGATGTCAGTTTCCTGTGTCCACAGTGACACCAAGCGGTATTCTACTGTACATGTCAATATCGTGACTCCACAAGGGAGCTGCCAGATGATGGTGGGTGCCAAACTGGAGTTGCCGGTACCCCTTCTCGTGGGACGAGATTGTCCACTGTTTGCGCCACTGCGGAGGCACGAGCTGAGGAAAAAGGTAAGAGCTGGCGGAAGACGAGAGCGCGGACGACCATTCGCCTGCGCGGCCCGGAGGCAAGCGGTTGACAACTGAGGGGACAGTTCCGGACTGCCCAGTCGGAGGATCCGAACTTGAAAGCCGCCGCAGCCCATGTGATAGCGGTGGATGGCCAGCTACTTCCGGGGGTGAGTGACTGGTGATACCCCCATTTCCAAATCAAGAATAACCTTTTGTATCTGGTGTTGTTCCAACAGGGGGAACTTCGAGAGGTACCGACGATCAAGAAAAGTCTCCCGAGTGGCGCAGTGGTCTAAGGCAGCAGAGCTAGCTGTGCCACTAGAGATCCTGGTTCGAATCCAGGCTCTGTCGTAGCCGGCCGTGACCGGGAGACCCATGGGGCGGTGCACAATTGGCCCAGCGTCGTCCAGGGTAGGGGAGGGAATGGCCGGCAGGGATGTAGCTCAGTTGGTAGAGCACGGCGTTTGCAACGCCAAGGTTGTGGGTTCGATTCCCACAGGGGGCCAGTATGAAAAATAAATAAAAAAGAGTGTATGCACTCACTAACTGCAAGTCGCTCTGGATAAGAGGGTCTACTAAATGACTAAAATGTAAAAATGTAACTAGC